TCGAAAGTTGTGTGTGAATAAATAATACCGGTGAGATTAGAAGTACTCCTGATTGAGCAGTCAGCAGCAAGTGCATCCTACCCTGTCCAGGATATTAATTGTGAGGTAGCGTGAGTGCATTCAAGAAATATGACCCTCTCGAAACGCTGATTTCTAACCACCCACCCTCGGTTTGGCGCCAACATAGCAGTGCCCGTGGTTACGCCAAAGTGTAAAAGTCTACGAGTGTCTCAATTCGGGATATCTGAGATCCTAGATATAACACAATCTCATTCAAATCAAATCTTTTTTAACGGTAGCGAGAACAAAGATACGATTTTAGTTAGATTGCGACATAACTGAAATAGTATTTAACAGAGTTTAATCTAACCAACACACCCACCTCCGGTCTTTGATCCCAAATTATCGTAAAATGACACGACAATATGAATACTGTATCAGAGGAATTACCCCCGCCAATCACAACACCCGCCGATCCTCGTGGGGCGAACACCTGGTATCATCACTATTTGATAGTGATTCATAAACACATGGTTATGATAAAGTCGGAATCGATTTCTTGTATTTGTAGAAAGAGTTTTGTTTCTGATATTTACAACTTCACAGCTATGACATATTTTGCCATATACCACTTTCTTGTCTTGATTTGCATAATTATAAATAACCGTCCCGTGAAGACCCGGGTTAGAAAAGGTCTTCAGCAACCCATGCTTACCGAAAGAAGCGACTAAAGGGATCGGATGGTCAGGCTCGTTGACTAGGTTGATGCGTATCATCGTATCCCAATTGCGTAGACCGATGCTCATGATATCAATCACTGGATTATCTGGTCCAGACTCAATTATCTACAACCCGCCGTCATTAAATAACAGTGCGGCGTTAAATAACAAAGAAACAAATATAAATAACCATTTACTGAACGTTAAGAAGGGTTTATTTGCGCCAACTGGATGTTAATGTGTTGTGCAGAGTTATGTCCCTCATGTACCAGGATCCAAATGTTTATTCGAATCCAAGATTGCCGGTTATGAACCTTGGTTTGTAAGCACAATACCCGTGCTGGTTTTAACAAAGTAGCAGATTCGAAAACCACATTGAGCTAACACGCCGAGATATAGCCGAAACTCTCTCAAACTGGACTTCAACCTAAAATCACCTTTGCCGAATGTGATAATTTGAGACGAGAACCGTGACTGACTTTTTACCCATGTTGCGGAAAATGGCGCATTATGATATAAATATGTGAATATCAAATTATATGGGAATATTGTTATAGGACCAAATATGTTACCTTAACATGACCCCGTGAACGTAAAATTAATTAAGATACCTTCAGCACTTTTGTAGTGGGCAACATCAAAGGGTTTGTTGATAAGCCGCCGGGTGTCGGTATAATGGTTATGAGCCCCTGTCACCTACAGGTGAGATAAACTCAGCTTATAATCACCAGCTTACCTTCGTTAACGCGCAATTGTCCGGTGATATCTTCCTTTCACCTGGAGTTTCGGGTGTAAATAAACAGGTGTGTCCCCAACAGAGGTAGGTTCAATTTGTATGACGTTATGCTTGTCTTATAACACTTTGACACGAGGTAGTTATAACAGTCTTGATACAACATTCCAGCTCTATGAACAGGTAAGCAAACGTTTAGCTTCATCAATACGTATCGCCTAAATGCAGTGTTCGAAATACCTGCCCGACCGTCCGAGACGGGTTGATTTCAACTCGGGCTGCCAGATTTTCAAATCCCCCTGCCCGACGGTCGGGTTATATTTCATATGTGAAAATATTCAAAATATTTCCCGATGATAAGCATTAATTCACATGTAAAGATGAATGATAAAATGTAACCAAAAAGAAACCCCGTTAGCTTATCCTGAGAAACATATGATTATAGTGGGCAGGCAGGTTTTGGTCAGGGCTGGCAAGTATTTCAGCTAGCCAGTCCTGTGGTCTGGCTGAAATTTTTGGGAGTTTCATACCCTGCTAAATGATGCTCATAATTTAAGAAATATGTGTATCAGTTGTCCCAGGTGAATTGAGGTGAGGTGAAATTGGGTTTAACGTCGCGTCCAAGATTATTGCACTTATATAGCGACGTGCATGCACGTGTGTGTGGCTGCTTGTACTAGTCCGGACTGATGCCGATTTATAGTGCTAGCTCACTGAGATACCATGCCGCAGTTTAACATGAGTTTAACTCAGACATAGTATACTGACTCCGAGCCGACCAGTCCTTGTTTTAGCCCCTTAATGTCGAGCGCCAGACAGGGTAACAACAAGTACCATCTTTTAACGTCTTTTGGTATGACGCGGCCGGGGATCGAACCCCGGACCTTCCGCTCTCCGGGCGGACGCTCTACCACAAGACCACGGAGGTGGCCAGTTGTCCAAGAGATCGGAAACAAATTGTATAAAAAAATATTATCGTTGGTCTTTTGGTATATTATAGATTTTCGATATAGAGCAGATTAAAAGGAAAGCATATCCCTGTGATATAGAGGGTAGTTGTATTACCTGCGAAATATATCAACTTGTTTTTCACTGATGTATCTTTAAGGGAGAAAGAAGGCTCACTATCATTAATACATGCTCTGAAACATATATCAATGCGAGTTCATTAAAGTATAAATACTTTGCTTTGTTTTTGACAATAAACATCCGAATCTTTAATTACACACACTTGTTGTAATTATATAATGATAGCAACTTGAACTTATTAAGGCGCATCACGGCGTGGGATGATATGGACGTGTAGTTCTTTACGTTTGATTGAGAGTCTGCGTCCTGAACATTTTTTGTACAATTATATGTAAATTTTTAAATCTGTTCTATACATCACTACACGCGGCCTCCGTTAGGTACCGTCTTTATCCCCGGATCACAGTATCCATAAAGTCTTACCAAATATCAGGTCTGTCTAATGTCGCTGGACATATTGTGACATTATAAACATTTCTCGTTACACGGCAGTGATATTGATATATTTCACGGGGCGTGAGTGAGTTTGGTTTAACGCCGCTTTGACGGCCTGTCAGTTTGATGTGGGAGGAACCCCCATGTTGTATCCCCATGTATCAGACATTTACCACCTTGGTGAAAAATTCGAGCACGGGTGTGGTGCTGATAAACCTAGAAACAAAATCAGGGCGAACCGGGATTCGAACCTACGTTCATAGGTTCCTGGCATTCATAAATCATGCGACTCAACAGAGAGAATTGCCTCCCTTGACGGGAAGAATGCCATGTAATACAAGTTATGTCTGTTTGTTGTTTAACGCCGCACTCAGCAATATTCAAGCATGGGTTGCTAAAGACCTTTTCTCTACCCGTATCTTCACGGGTTTACAATCTAATGGTTAACGCCAGTCACAGTCCCACAAGTCCAAGCTTTGGATTGCAAGTTAGAAGTTGACATATACTGACGGACAAAAGAAAGTATACACCCCTGGTTAAAAATGAATGAGGATGCTTTTACGCCGCTTTTAGCACCGTTCCAGCAATATCACGGCGGGGGACACCAGAAATGGGCTTCACACATTGTACCCATGTCGGGAATCGAACCCGGGTCTTCGGCGTGACGAACGAACGCTTTAACCATCAGGCTACCCGACCGCCCCTGGTTAAAAATGAAACAAACAAGCAAGAAATGTTACTCGATGGTGATGTATTTGATACGAGTATCATAGTTGTGTTTTGGACCTTTAGTTTCCAGTGGTTTGTCTACTGTTTTCAGCCAGGTAACGTTTTGATAAAAAAAACAACAAAAACAACAAAAAAACGTGTGTAATTCTTTGATCAATTCCAATTTTAAAGTGTAAACTTTCTTTTGCACATCAGTATATCATGTTTTTGAAGACAATTCAATCATTCTTTAAGTGTATTGCCTCGATGGTCGGTGTATTTTCATATCTTACTCAGCTACCACTTAAGGCTCACTTCAAACTGACTTACTGACCCAATATATATGAAATACAATATGTCAGCAACCTTAGGTAAATATGTGCAGCAATATTCAACACTTACATCCACTACAATTATACACGAAGACATGCACGCCAAACACAGACCGACCTGGACAACATTCACCACAGCATAATGAACAGTCCCTCTCTTGTATGCAAACAGACATGACAAAATGTTTTATACTTCTCCAACGCTGATATACACGTCTGGGGTTAAACTAAGCGTTATTAGAACCTTGTACATTGCTTTGACTTCTAGACCGGCAATAAATAAAACGCTGGTAGGCACCAACTTGAAAGAAATCCGAAAGTGAGTGTGTGTGTTTGACCTGGGCTTGGCGCGACATTATGCTTCAGACGCTTTTATCAGGAATCGAATTATTTATAAATGAATAACAAAGACAACATGCACAGGATAGATTAAACGAAGGTAAATGACTCGTTCGGGGTCATTTGTCTGTCAAAACATGGCGTTTGGTGGGAAGGGATTAACTAGAATGGAAGAACACGTTTTTCTGGTACGGTTTATTGTAGGTACAATATGAGTTATTGCGGTCAACGGAAGCGTACAATGTTAGTTCAGATTAAAAGATATTTTCGGTATTGTACACATTATTAACACATTCAGACAAAACAATCCTTTAAATAAAAGCAGGACTAACAAAAGGGAGTATTATTGTAACGGTTGAATGTGTAATACAGTATACGTTTCGGTAGAGTGACTTATCTTGATGTTAACGAATAAAATTCTTCTTCTCAAGCTTCTGATTTTCTCACATGGTGGCGCCATACTCAAAGGGCCATAAGTTGTCTAATCTCGCGTTCTGGGAGATTTTCTACTTACAATTCTCATAATGATATAGCCCCTTTATCTATTAAGAAGCCCGAATGTGGAAGCACTGGAGTGTGATGCTTGTTTATGTATTGATCATGTAGCCTGAAGATATTAAGCAAACAAGGTGATAAAATATATTTATTACATGGGCACATTGTCAAGCTGGTGTTTGATTGGTCGTACTCCTTCGAAGTGTTTACCGCACGAAGTAGTGAGACGCTATACCTCTCGACCAGCTCGGCCAGAGTAGGGTAACAAGTAGACATAAATACCCACGTATTGGTTAATTACTAGGACCCGTCTCCTTAAGCCACTGTGAGAGATGGAGACCTTGTCTCGTGAAACTAACCTCACAGAGCACGGTGAAGACTGTTAAATTGGTTATATGCGTTTACAACGACACACCACGGACGCAACCTCAAGTCATTAAAGTTTAACGTGGGGAGAATTGTGTGGATGGAGAGGAGAAGCCGTGTGTTTAAGGTAGGTGCAGTCGGCAGAAGGAGAATAATTTTATACCGCGTAATATATAACACTTACTTTTTATTGAAATGCAGTAATTCTACAAAAATGTAAACAATTTATTTAGTAGGTTCAGTCCCATATATGTCAGTCGAGGACATTTAAACAATAACAGGTCGATCCATTACACAAATTGAAATAGATTGTTAAATTTTCTGACAAATTATTTTTTGTGGAATTAGAATTTATTTCTTGTTATTTATTTCGAAGTTTTAAGATTTGTAAAAGTACTAATACGATTTTGTAATTCAATCCTACGTCGCCACTCCGGGTTTTGTGGTGTACATTGGCCAGGACAGGCCTTCTGCAAACACCGTCTCCGGGGTGCAAACGTCTTTGAAAGTCATTAATCAGTGCCTCTGTATCACTTATGTGATTACACATATGAGATAGGACGTATAAGAAATGCCGTGGAGGGTTTCCGTTCACAAGATTGGAGTAATATATCAGTCGAGGGATTAACCTGTTCTGAAGAGAGAGACACTGAACTCAGTGCAGGGTGGGAGACGGACGATGTACGGAGTGTACATGCCGAGTTTGTGTACTGAAAGTTTAATCTGAATATTTTGATAGGTGCAGTTGATGGGTTTTTTTTATATTAACATCTAGTTTTCCATTTCAGGTATTATATTAATATGTTGTGAGTTAAAGCAACGTGTCTCAGAGGTTCTCGTACGGAAGTTTCAGGAGCGTTGCCACTTCATCTAGTTTTGTCTTGCACGAGAACTGGATATATAATACACGTGTTTGTGATACGTTATCCCCTCAGGACTGAGGTATTGAAAGTTAGGAATAATACTTCTCGTGACACGTGCTTTCTAGGATTCGAGTGATGTTGTGGACAATGTCGCTATAGCTAACGTGTCCAGACAAGTTGCCGCCAATACCCTGAATCCGATATATACATAACTTGTGCTTCCTTGACACGACGGAGATGACAACGTGGTGAACGACGACGACAACGTTTGTATGTGAATACACAGCGGTGGATACTGAATTAACGCCCCAACAGCAGCAGCATGGAGGACACCGACGTCGACCGATACCTGAAGGAGAGTTGTCGCAGCTTCCGGGAGGCGAAGGTGAAGAACTCGGCCAGGCGGAACTCTCTGATGAAGAAGACTCTCGGGATTGAAAACGAACGCAAGATGGCGACAGTAAAGATGAGCAGGGAGGAGAAACAGCTGAGGGAACAGCTGCGACAGATGCAGATGGGGAAGAAGGTCGTCACTGGCAACGCACACAAAGGTAGGTGGCATGTAATGCAGCAGTAGCAGGTACCAACCAGTCTGTATAAAACATCTATCATAGAGAAAGGTACATGGTGGTTGACACGGAGAGTACAGATCTAAATATACTGCCGGGCAAAAGAAAGTATACACCCATATTTGATAGTGGCTAAAATTGAACAACAAGAAATGACTATTCGATCGAGATGTATTTGACGGGTATCATAGTGTTGTTTTTGACCCTATGTCTGCAGTGTTTCGGCGACTGTTTTCGGTGTAGACCTAGTAACGTTTTCATACCGTTTGTAATTGTTTGGTCAAAATCAAATTTTCACTCAAACATTCAAATATCAAGAATATATTCAGTTAATCATTTGATGAATGTCCAAGCCAAATTTGGGAATTTTATCCTTTGATTGTGGGTTTGAATCCCAGATTCGCCCTCATAATGTTTCTAGGTTTGTCAATACCATCCCTGTGCTCATGGGTTTCACCAACAGGATAAACGTCTGAGACCTGCATTACTTCGGGCTTTCCTCCCACATTAAGCTGGCACGCCGTGATATAACTGGAATACTGTTAAAAGCTGCGTTAAGCACTCACTCAGTTGCAATGAAAAGCATTCGTTGAGAGTGACGTCTTTAGAGTACACTGCACTCAGTTTACGGCTGTTAACACCAGTGCTGTTCTGCCCTCAAGATGAGTGAGTGAGTATGTGAGTTGGGTTTAACGCCGCTTTTAACAGTATTCCAGTTATATCAGTGTGTCCCTCAAGATGAAGGAGACCCGTGAAGATCCGGGGTAGAATAGGTCTTCAGCAACCCATGCTTGCCGTAAAAGGCGACTATGCTTGTCGTAAAAGGCGACTAACGGGATCGGGTGGTCAGGCTCGCTGACTTGGTTGATGCATGTCATCGATCCCAATTGCGTGGATCGATGTTCATGATGTAAATCACTGGGTTGTCTGGTCCAGACTCGATTATTTACAGACCGCCGTCATATATCTGGAATATTGCCGAGTGCGGCGTAAAACAACAAACCAAACCACAGAAACCAAGATGAAGGACATTGTGAAGATAGGGGAGATTGACGGGATAGTGCAGTCAGATCCGCTGATTTGTTTGATGCATGTATGCCGTCATATCGTATATGGATACTCATGACGTCAATCACAGGATTGCCTGGTCTAGACTTGATGATTTACAGACCGCCGTCGTATAGCTGGAATATTGCTATGTGCGGCGTTGAACAACAAACAAACTGTTTATGTAAACGAATATATTAATTTATGGCTCATGTTTATTTGTGTGTTGTGTTATGGACACCAGCTGGAATGAATCAGAGGCCATTGACACGCCCGAGAACCATTCCTGTCAGTTTTGAAAAGACAACGTATTGTTTGTGACGCTGTGGTTTTGTTTGAAGGCCTTGACAAGAAGACGCCATCCAAGTCAGACGCCAAGAAGCGCCCGATCCCTTCTTGTGATGTCGATCCCTACCCCGTCACCTTCGCCGACAGGACACCCTCGCCTCACCGGAAGGGCAAATTTGAAGAAAAGGGTAGGTTGCCTCTATATTTAACCGTCACGTGGGACGAAAAGCTGACTGATTTTTGGTGAGTGCGGTCGTTGGTTGTGGGTTCAAATCCCAGATTTGGTAAATTGACCGTGCCCATGGATTTCACCAAGGTGTTAAACGACTAACTGGCACGTGACATTAGACTAACTAGCTGACATACACCTTTCAATCAGCTGAGCTTGCGTTACCGGCTGTTACTGGTCCTGTCGTAGGCGTCTCTCCATCTCATCCCAGACATGTTCTATGGTGGAAAAACCGGAGAATCACAAAGTCTGTTACAACATGTGCAACGTGATAGCTGGCATTATCCTGTAACGTAACTTTACGTCCCAGCATTACGTCCCTGCATTTGCACAAAGGGTAGAATATGATCTCGAACGACGTCGTCCAGGTAGCGTACGCCATTCAAACTGCTATTAACAATGATGAGTTGTGTTCTCCCATGAGTTGTGATGACACCCCATACCATTACACCTCCACACGTAAACTAACGACGTTAAGTAACGCAAGCATCGCTGAAACGTTCTACTGGGCACCCATATAGACCCCTGACGACCATCAGAGATGTCCAGATAAAAACCTGGTCTCCTCTGCGCCAAGTATACTTATTACTGTCCCAGCCTTGTCCTCTGATCCTTATAAGCTGTCTGCACCAAACTAGGCGTGGCTGACGATGACGTTGAAGCAAACTGGGGCGTATCGCCGGACGTCGGGGCCGGATGTTGTGCTCCCTCAACCGGTTGCGCACGGTTCTGCCACTTATTGGTTTCAAACCAGGAATTGTCTCAGCTGCCAATGTGGCAGTTTTGTATCGATTCCTCAGATGCACCAACCGAATATGGTTGTCCTGTTGACATGACTTCACACGTGGACGACCGGCCCGTGGCAATTGCAAGACATGAGTTTTGACCTGCTGTAGATAATGTTTACAAAGAGATAATGTTGTGTTTCGATGAACATTGAATGTCTGGCAACTTCGTTTGCGCCATTCCTGTTTGCAGCATAACCACGGCGCGTAGACGTGCATTTTCGGCAAGCCGTGGCACTGAGTAAGCGTTATTTACGGTTAAACGGCGGACTCGATAGCTAATCATTCAATGTGTGCAGTTCACGTTCACTAACCACGTGTGGACAAAAACACCCAAATGGTCCGCCGTGCATTAACATGCATGTGCAAAATGGGCGATGCATTCATGAATATGTAATAAAAGATGCATTGTTTAATTTCAGAATAAATGTATATTTTATTGAACTTTATATGAAGTACAGTTATTATTTTCCGTTAGTATATGTTATGCTGCTCGGCATTACAACAAAATGGCGTGATGTTCAACATTCAATGCGTTTATATGTGCAGCAGGATCAGCGTATGTTCCATAATGAAGGTATCCATCGTTGTAAGTCCAATTTCGTCTTTTAAAGTTAGAGTGAGCATGGTTTTACGACGCTTTTAGCAATATTCCTGCAATATCACGACGGGGGACACCAGAAATGGGCTTCACACATTGTACCCATGTCGGGAATCGAACCCGGGTCTTCGGCGTGACGAACGAACGCTTTAACCACTAGGCTACCCGACCGCCCCTTTTTGAAGTTAGAAGTAGCAACAAATCAAATTTGGATTTGTTATAAGCAACACCATCTAGCGAACAACATTAACGTTGATATGACTCATTCGACGTAGTGTCTTCCTGTCATGTTTCTATCTTCATGGGCCGCCTCTGTGGTCTGCCCGGAGAGCGGAAGGTCGGGGGTTCGATCCCCGACCGCGTCATCCCAAAATACATTAAAATATGGTACTTGTTGTTACCCTGTCTGGCACTCGGCATCAAGGGATCAAACATAGACTGGTCGGCTCGGAGTCAGTATACTGTCTGAGTGGGGTATTCATGTTAAACTGCGCATGGTATCTCGGTGTGCTAGCACTATAAAACCGGCATTAGTCTGGACCAGCATAAACAACCACACAGGCATGCCTGTAAGTCGCTATATCAGCGCAATAATCTTGAACGCGACGTTAAACCCCATTTAACCTCCTCTTTCCTCATTACGATAGTGACTGTGACGAGCCAATAGGTGCAACTCATGTTATTCATTTTTCCACGTTTCAATCATTCATTTTTATACCCATTCTTTCCTTCGTGGCATTAGTCTTATTTCATATTTTTTATAAATTACGTGGTTAGTTTTCAGAAATCTGTCTGGAAGAGAATATATCGACAGTCTCCAGTAAAGTTGAGATTGACGTGACATGGTGTCGTCTCGTGTTATCTCTGCAGTGCTGTTCAGGGCACGGACTCATCGATCGCCTGTCAATATCACCAGTCAACTTCCGACTTACTTAATCAAACACGGCGCCCAGTTTACCCCGGCATCAGGCAAATGAAATATTTGTTTGGGTATAGGCAAGACTTTACATTGGTGATCGGTCTTAATGATAACTGGAACCATGCCTCTTGGTATCCGTGTGTCTTTCTGAAATTGTGTGTATATGTGTGAACTCATGTCAGTCATAGGATTTTACTGTAGACGTTAGGCTTCCCACCGATGCCCAGTAGTTAAAGTCATGCAACATTTTACAAGACATTAAGGAAATCGCAGCTGAAAATGTCCTTTATTCTGAATTCACATTCGCACATGCACGCGGAAAGGGCTGATAGGATTTCTTTTTTCTATCTTTGCTGCGTTTCGGTAAAGTTTTTTTCTCCCGCATAATCAGCTCGACGGTCCTAGGTTTCTGGCACATCTAAGGGACATAACTGTACACAGCGATTTACGTCGACTTATACGATTGGGCCACTCGTGCCCACTTTACACGTAGATGGTTGCCTTCTATAAGCATATAACATAAGTATAGAAGTCTTTGAAAAATGACACAAGTTGACATTGTCCTAGTGAAGTCTTCAAGCTCAACAGAGTTGCGCCCCAAGCCGGTCTTGAGTCCAGGTCTTGCTAGTGCTAATTTGCTGTATACCTGATCCTCAAATGGGTGAAAGTGAATTTCGTGGCGGGTCTACCAGATCAAAAGTCTTCTCCTCTATTATAACGGAACCATTCGTTCACAATCCTAGTTTCTCTTCACCCTTCCAGGTCGACTTCACGCTGCCAGACGACAGAGAAGAACCTCGCGAGAGTTTGAGGATCTCCGCGTGAACACGACGACGGGAAAGCTCCTTGCAGCGAAGACTCACAGCTCCAAACTGCTCATCCCATCTAGCCTCTCGCCCTCCATAGCCAGAAGGCTCATAGGATCACAAAATAGCATGTCTTCCAGCGATGACCTCACTGGATCTGATGACCCGGAAGTACTTGGATCAGAAAGGAAGTCGAAGGAGTCTGGGAGCCAACAGGATCTCCGAACCAAGAAGGGGAAAGACGGTTAAGCGGAGAAGTGAACTTATGCTGTTAATTTAAACATGTTTTTCGTATATGCTCTGACGGGTAGAGAAAATGGACTGGTGTATGCGTGTCTCAAAAGTGAGGTCGACTCGAGTGCCCGATTTCAACGGTAATGTCATCGATGTTAATATGCGTCAACATAGTGCATAGAACATGTAAAGTAAAATTAAAAAGTAAAGATGTAAGTTACATCGCCTGGTCGGGCACTAGAGTCCTCGACGTAGGACGGGAAAGTACTCGAGTACCCGTCAGGGCCGTGCTTAACGGTATTGACTTGTTGAAGGATACTTGTTGCATTTGTAGATTCCATAAACAAGCATGTATTCCCCTACCGTATATGTTTGTTTCAGCTATTTGATTGTTGTGACTGTTGTGTTGATTGCGCATAGTGCCATTAGCTGAGGCTGGTCTCCCGATACAGTTAATCACACTGACAGAAAGTGACCACAAATACATATATGGACATACACTCACGAATGAATGATTTACACTGATGACACCGAGTGCTTGTGAAAACGGTCTTCGTGAAACGGCCATGGATAGTTTGTCCTGCGCAGTGACTGGAATTTATATTTTTTAGGAATTTCTTTTTACTAAAAGCCAAGGCAACTCTAGATCAAACTAACCAAGTCTCACTTCTTTGATAGGCATTTAGAAGTTGGAGTACCAAGTAAGGATAAGAATTTATGGATGAACAACTTCTTTATTACAATTAAGAGCCACGTTTCGGTGTAGGTTCTAACACCATTATTAAGCATGTTATCCTTACTTAACCAAGTCTAGTTTGCTTGATGGAAACAGCAGAAGAGGAAAGGTTCTTTCGAAGAAATGTTTTTAAAGACATGTTTTCATTGACTAAGTGTTGGTCTATTGTATAGTTTGTGAACTGAGACATGAACCGGTAGCTGTACATGGTGAACCGACAGAACAACCTGCTACCTTAGGAAGGTTGAGACATACAAACGTCGATGGTGCCAGGCCATTATGTATTGTGGTAGTTGGGACAATGATGCATGATTGGGAAAGATAAACCTCAACGAGTCCATCCTCGCTAATCCAGTGTAGCTAGTTCCTTTGTCCAATGAATTAATGTGGTTTCGTCGTTTGCAGATTCCTAGAGTAGTGTAGTACATCAACCCAGCAACCCAGTACCATCCGTCCGCCGCACTGTATATATACTCATATATCCGAACATTTAGCTTGTGTTGATTGAAAGTTGCTGTGTTCGATCTATAGCTAGGGGCACGGGTGGCCCAGTCGTCTAAGGCGCCGCGATTGGCAGAGTTGCGTCCCTTGGACACGTCTGAGACCTATAATTGTGGGTTCAAATCCCGGTTCGCCCCGAACATGTTTCTAGGTTTCTCAGCACCATACGTGCTCACGGGTTTCACCGAAGTAGTAAACGTCTGAGACCTGCATCACTTCGGGCTTTCCTTCAAAATTAAGCTGACACGCCGTGATATAACTGGAATACTGTTAAAAGCGGCGTTAAACCCAACTCACTCACTCACCCACTCACTCACTCACTGGATCTATAGCTGGTACCGATAGTACAAATTGTCCGTAGAGTTAGTGTCATAGGAAAACGGACACTATGTATTATAGACTGTCGACAAAAGCTATAGATGTGAATATCTTTACGACCAATCAATAGTCGTATCTCAGAGATTTCATATGATTCTGGATTCTGTGTCCGCTTGTCGCGGGGTTGAACCCTCTTCTGTACTCCCAAGTTATGAGACATGGCCTTGTTGTTTCAGTGTGAGCTCTCCTCCCACTTCAGCGAGTGAATGAGGTTTAACGTCACCGTGAACAGTATTCCAGTTATATCACTGTGTGTTAGCTTAATGTGGGAGGAAAGCCGGTCTCAGACGTTTACCACTTTGATGAAACCCACGCGCAGCACGTGTATAGCGCTGACAAAACAAGAAATAGATCGGGGCGAACCGGGATTCGAACCCACGATCATAGGTTCCCGCCTCTTTAAGCTGACCTAATTGTTTAAAAAGACCACTTTATAATTATGTATATGTTTTCATAAAGTTTACTTGGTGTTAGATTTGACCTTACCTTACCGTTTAATAAGGTTAAATAGGTTAAATAGTTGAAATGGCAATGGAGGCCTAAATTTGCTGGTAATGAATATCTGTTCATATATGTTTAATAAATAAAATATACTATTTAATTGCCAGAATTTGTACTATATATCTGTAACCATCACACAAGAGAGTCTGAAGACCACCTGGGTGTAATGGAAGACAATGGTTCCTCGCTGCTGCAGTTTAAAATTTGTTTCTATCTTAAACGCAAACCTGAAAAACTTTCTTTCCCCCATAATAATGCGTTTAGAAGCATTGTATCCTTATACGAGGGCTGGTCAAAAAGTTCTGAGCCTAACAAACAAAACCAAAAATTGTGAAAGTGTTGATAATGTTACTGCTTTTCAATACACTTCTTCGAACCACCCACATTGTCGCACAGCAGCCTTTGCAAGTCGAGAGGTGTGAGAAGAGGCATTGTCATGAAAAAGTTGAACCCCAGCAGTCAGCATTCCTCGCCGCTTTTCTTTGATAGAATCTCTCATGCGATGAAGCAAATCAGCCCAGTGGGCACCGGTAATCATCTTTTGACTTTCTAAGTAATTAACAAGGATCACACCCTTTGCATCCCAGAATACAGAGACCATTCCTTTCTTCTTTGATCTTGAAGACTTGAATTTCTTTGGTACCGGAGAAGTGGAATGGTGCCATTCCATAGATTGACGTTTTGACTTGGGATCATAGTGATAGACCAATGTTTCGTCACCCGTTATTAATCTCTTTTTGAATTTGACGAAATCCTCATAAAGTTGCTCTAAATTTTTTCTCGATGTAAGTCTTTTTTCCCTTAAGATCAGAATTGAGAAACTTTGGTACCCAACAAGCAGATATCTTATTCATCTGTAAATGTTCATGAATAATAGTTTCAATTGATCCATGGCTTACACCTTGTCTTCCTCAAGTTTGGGCTAGGAACCTTTTTACCAGCCCTCGTATAAGTTAAGAGTTAAGGAAACAAACGCATTTAGGACACTAAACACATGGATGTGTGGGATATTGTGGGTATTTAAAGACAATCCTTAAAGAGTTCTAAACATGACTCGCATCTGTTTAATACCTGAACCTATTTTAGAGATACATAACTGTAACGACTCACCGGTACCTACCACGATATGAGAATCACATGACAAGTGAGTATGGTTTTACGCCGCTTTTAGCAATATTCCAGCAATATCACGACTGGGGCACCACAAATTGCGCCCAAATGGGAAACGAACTTGGCTATCCAAACGCCCCTTGATATGAAGGTGAATTGTGAAATATTCTGATGGTATACATAGGTCTGCACCATGACTGTAGAATATCTGTATTTAATTGGATCAAAGTCAATCTATATGATAGAAATGGGCAAGTCTAGTAAGCACCAAACAGAAATTAGAAGAGAGAAATGTATTGTGTAATGAATGATTTAATAGGCTATATATTGGTCTAACAAAGGATTAGAAACCATAGTGGGTCTAAACGTCAGAAGATACATTTGTTTCGGTTTGGTTTCAAGTCTTCTTTTGATGGTGGAGTGCGTCACTTAGTGGGACACTAGTCGGACGATTCACATATGTAGGTGCTTAGATTCAAGTGATTCAATATGACACGTACACATTTCATGATGTATACTACTCAAAAGAAGTTAAGGAGCACCCAATTCTGTCATATAAATGTAGTTAATCTGTCATTATACGACAGATAAACTCCAGTCATATAAAAGAATTATCAACCTTGTGGTTGTTGATTATCCTAAATACACATAGATCAAGTCTCAGATTCACACAAGTCACTTGTTACAAAGTCTGCACTTAGGCCGACCATGGACACCAGATCTTGAGGAGAAAGTGCCACTTTAATATAAATATATATTTACGTTTTACGTATTGCATTGTGTGTATATTATCGGATATACTAAGACATACGTATACCGCCATTCCGCCATTTTGGTGAGGGATGTGCACGAGCTCATTCCTTAGTAACGGTTTCAGACGCCATTTTTGACGCCTCGCTAAAACAACAGGAGGTTTGTGGGCTTTATTAGTTGCATCAAACAAACATGGCGGATAGGAGTCCGGTATAGTGCATGTATATCTTGCGTGACAACCTTAACCCCATCCTCGATTATGTAGAGGATTATATCTCCATTCTATTACGTTAAATACCCTGGATCTATGCGTCACAAGGCTTCGTTTAGGAAGTCATGTCACCATCTCCATGTTTCTTATCACTAACATAGCATAGCTCTCGCTCATGAATATGGATTGGATGGCCTCCGTGGTCTAGTGGTAGAGCGTCCGCCCGGAGAGCGGAAGGTCCGGGGTTTCTATCCCTGGTGGCGTCATACCAAAATACGTTAAAAGATGGTACTTGTTGTTACTCTGCCTGGCGCTTGGTAATAAGGGACTAAAACAAGGACTCGGAGTCACTATACTGTGTCTGAGTGGGGTATTCATGTTAAACTGCGCATGGTATCAAGTTGGGCTAGCACTATAAATCGGCATCTCTACGAGCTAGTACAAGCAGCCACACACACACACACACACACACACACACACTCTCTCTCTCTCTCTCTCTCTCTCTCTCTCTCTCTCTCTCTCTCTCTCTCTCTCTCTCTCTCTCTCTCTATTAGTGCAATAATCTTGGACGCGACGTTAAACCCCGTTTCACCTCACCGCTATCGCTCATGAATGTGGATTGGATGGCTAGTGTACGCGCGTATCGAATCGGGCTAAAACCAAAGCATGGGTCCAAGGTATTTATTATAATAGTTATATAATACACTGGCCAATCGAGGATGCCCTCTCAATGCTGCTGGGTGAGTTGAAACAGGTCAACAAATAACTGTCCACGTGCAACTGTATACACAGTCAGAGCAATGAGCATGATCACATTTACCTTGACTTGAATAACGTCTGCTCGACCTCACATTCGCGAGGGTCTTAGCGTCCAATTTAAGAATTCTTGGGTCACGTCAGTGTACACAGCTACCGCACGTAAACTATACTGGCATTTTCGCATAGAATGCATGGCCACGCGTGCTCATAAGCTCAGGGCAAAATATTTTATTGATTTGTAACTCTTTGCAAGAAAAAAGACGAAAATTTAATCTTGAACATTGAAATTGAAACATTGGCATCCGCGTAGCAGATAAACATTTCATGGCATCCAGCGTACTGCACCAAGGGCATCCGAGATGCCACTTAACAAGGGCATAGCACGTAATCCGGTCCGGCGTCCCATGCCAAAAGGGTGTCGTCACTGCATGTGAGCATAACGTGGTTGTCTGTCATTTCTTCCCCTGTCGTTTAGGGGAGGCAAGTGGGGACATGGTTTGTTTCTGAACTCTCTTGCTGGCCGGGCTGCCAGGAGTGGGGGGACTCCCTGTATGTTCTCGAGGTTGTGGTGGCGTGCCAAGGGAGCTAACTCTGCTGTGAAGGTCTGACACCGACCTCTGTAAAGGTCGATGTGTCTTGTGAAGCTGACTGGACTTGTTTTCATCTGTCGATTTGGGGAGTGTGTCGTGTCCAGTGGCTTGTCGTCTTGGGCTGGAGGTTTTGGGACGAAGGAACCCTGATTTATGTGTGAGGGCAAACAGATGAAGACTTCCGGTGGCAGTATGCATCAGGAGATCCTCAAACTCTTTGGACTTCCGGCGGCCACGACTCCTGGTGTAAGCGAAACCTGGATGAAACGGGAAGGGTTTGTAAATATACTGTGACAAAAAGTAGGAGATAGTAAGAATCATCGAGACATATCTTCTGATCTATACAGTATTAGCAAATGGAAATGATTTAATCTTTTTTGCTGGGGAGGAGGCGATCAGATCTAATGGGTTCTTATGGTTGGTGTGATGAGATGGTGTCGCTCTAGATCGTTAAACAGGTCGGGGGTCGAATTCGAAACGTGCACTTTGCAGCCAACGTCACTAATATAGGGTAAATTCGCCTCTGTTGGCTAGACATGCACGAATTCTTTCGAGGCATGCTTCTGATGAGTCGACCAAGTCAGCTTGACTCATGTTGTTCTACTCATCTGCGAGATCAACACCGACTTCACTGAGAGTGGTGGGTGGATTCGACGTTGATGTGCACGTCTGCCAATCACGTCCCTGACGTGTTCAATGGGGCAAAAGTCAGGACAGAGTGCTGGCCATGGCATGACATTAATGTTCTGCTGTTGGGGGAATTGCGTCACAATTCTGGCACGATGAGCACGTGCCTTATCATCTTGAAAGATGAAACATTGCCCAACACGTTGTGTAAATGGCATTACTAGAGGTGCAATGATGCTACCCCGATAGTATTGACCTGTGACTCTGCCATGGACAATACGGAGCACAGATCGGCCAGTCATACGATGTTAACGTCCACAAAACGCTCATTATGACGTCTCCAAACCCGATTCCATGGACGTCAAGAGTGGACCTCGATTCGTCAGAAAGCCCAACGTCGATTATCCCAGTGCTGACGTTCCCTGCACTACTGATGTCTCTGATTCACATGACGTTATTGGATGACACGTGGACGTCGTGCACACAAATGCCATCTGTGCAACCGATTTCGCACCGTCTGGGCAAATACTCGTACATCAGTTTCCTAATGCAACTGGTCCCTTATCTGAGTGGCAGTTTGCAACCGATTTCTTAATGCCATTGTTTCTGACTAATCTGTCCTGGGCTGGAGTTATTGCCCTTTAGTGTCCAGAGCGGCGTCGATCATTGACGTTATGCGTTTGTTGGTATCGGGCCCACAATCTGCTGATGAATGAGAAGCATTCAGCATTTTGGGCAACACTATTCTGACCTGTGTCCACCTGCATCATGCCTATGGCACGTAAACGTTCAGCACGTTGCAAAGGTCGTATGATCAATGCTGTTGCTTCATATAATCATTAAATGTGTTTAATAAAGTGCCCTTGAGCGTTTGGTTCCAAGAAATCAATATGGGTCTGCTAACAACCGAGTCTGAGTAACAATGCCAAATCTTGCATACCACCCCTTGCACGTGCTGTCCTATGACACGTGCTTCATGGCGGCCAAAATGCTGTGTTTGGGAGCTTGATTTCTTCGGAAATGTCCTTGCCAGATAAGTCATTTACTTTGGTGTATTTTCCTGTAGTTTCACCTCAAAATAAAATATCCCCTACTTTTTACACTCTAATAAATAAATTATCCCCTACTTTTTACACTCTAATAAATAAATTGCAAGTGATTCCATAGTATTTTTTTTTTTGACCAAGCAATTCTTTTTCAGCAGTGATGATTAAAAAAACCCGAAAAATTAGGCCACGCCCACTACTGTTTCCTATTTAGCTGATAATAGGGTGGGCGGGTCTTGTGTTGCACGATTGCGCTGAATGAAGTCACTGATGTTGTAGACCTGCCTACAGTTCTTTGTGTTGAGGATCAAATAAACAGTATATTTATATATATATATTTATAAGAATTGAGCTTTTGGTATGAAGGTTATGACGTAAAAACCGCCATGCACAAAGTGTAAATCTGCGTAGTTTTGACAGTTTTACCTCCATAAACGCAAGAAGTATTTCAATTTCAGTCTTTAAGCAAACGTCCCTACCTTCAGTACTGAATCTACTGGACGGGTCGAATACATCACTGCCACACTTGTTCTTCATCAGAGTGACGAGGTCCACCTCCCCGTCGCTGTCTGTGGACATCACATAATAACACATGTAATGCAAGAGGGAGTGCAGAACCCGGGGAGACAAGTTAAGAAAGTCTCCCTCTTTACAAAATGTCTATCAATGGCATCACAAATGTTGTTAAAAAATGTCTGTATTTATCATATAATGGGTAGGTTTCTCGGCAGGATAAAGCCAACGGATAAAAACGATATCCGTTGGGGTCATATGCGGATAGAGATGCAAATATCAAAGGTCAAGTAGGGACTACTTTCACTGTTTATAAACAAACATGGCGTCGCCCTCGTCATTCGGCGATCGAGTCAGAACTAACCATCGGGAATCTGGATAAACTACAGAGATAATTGCTATCATTATCAAAAGAACGGTCTAATATACTGAAAATCAGTGTCTAACTGTGACGTCGCGAAGGCATTTTATAAGTTTTGGCAACTTTGGAGAAACAATTTTGCGAGGGCACGAGGCCTAGCCAAGCGGGATCAGTAGCCATATCTGTGCTTGTAGACCTCTGCGGCTTAAAACCTTCTCCACAAATTAAAATAGTTGGATTTGGCGGAAATATGTTTGAATTGTTACCTTGTTTCGTTTTCTCGCTGTGTGTACATCTGACTACACTTCTTAACGTTATGACAGGACAGACCGACTGTCAACAACGTCAGACCGTGGCCGTGACGTCTCGTAGACTAGGTTTAGAGTAGCTTCCCTTTGACAAAGGGCAGTTACTCTAGCGGACAGACCGATGGATTGCCGTGAAAGGCAATTGTTGTTTTGCGTATATATGTCGCTTCGCCACTGTATAAGAAACAGATTTCAGTTAGAACTATATTGGCTACTGTCACTGTCCGACTGACATATCACTTACCCTGTGACGTAATAAATATTAAAGCGCGCATTCCAGGAAAACTCGCAAATTTTCGGTAATGTTTATGAGAGAGGGAAAGCGATTTTGAAGCACAGAATTAAAGAATGACATTATATGATAAAGAGGTTATCACGCTTGTGTATTTGGGGATGGTAAATATCCTGTATTAGGAATAAACACTATGTATTTAGCTCGCCAAGGCTCGCTAAATACAATGTTTATTCCTAATGCAGGATATTTACCATCCCCAAACACACTCGCGTGATAACCTCTATATATCATACAAGTTAAAACTTCTGTGGAATTATTTCTTATTTTCTTTGCCATTAGTGTGTGGGGCCGTATGCCAAAATGTACCAACTGTCTTGTAACACTACAGACATGCAGTTGGTATTTGGTTGTTTGTTTGTTTGTTTGTTGTTTAATGCCGCACAGCCGACGGCGGTCTGTAAATAATCATGAGCATCGATCCAATCAACTGGAATACGATGACATGCATCAACAAAGTCAGCGAGCCTGACCACCCAATCACGTTAGTCGCCTATTACGACAAGCATATTCGCCTTTTATGGCAAGAATGGGTTGCTGAAGACCTATTCTACCCCGGATCTTCACGGGGCTTGTTTGAAATAGGAATAGTGGACAATGCGGTTGGGTAAAACAATGGTGTTATTTGTCATCTACATCCTTCACACAAGAATCTCTCGCCGTCAGCTGCCGCAAGCGAGAAATCGTGGTTCAGTATGTTACACAAACCAAGTGTAGCAGGTTAATGTTGACTTTGCGGTGTTAATTATTCGGTCAACGGTTTCGCCGACCAAATGTTTTCTCCAAAAGGAATATACCATTAAAATTTTATACTTCTTTTCTTTCCTTTCAGTCATGAAAATACCGCCAAGACGTTTGGTCAATTTAGGAAAAATGTATTCTATGAAATTTATTTGGCCTTAGTTTATTTCACCAGCCGACAAAATGTAATGGAAAAAACGAAATGTGTTTTTTCATGTTATTTTCTATTTTCAACACTTATCCTACGGTTGTTGAACTATTATAGGAGAAGGTGTTCATATATACTCTTGAAAAAAATAGAGGATCATGAAATATAAATGTTAATACCAGGTATTAGAGCAAACATCCAGTGCAAGAGCGTTTATGTCTGTAAAACATAACGCCAAAACACATCCTGCAGTTTGCACGTGCCTCACACAGTAGGGTGCCATTCCCGAAAGGCGTGGTCGTGTCTGCCGACGTCGATATGAACGTCAATCCATTCTCAACCTGAGACCTCATGACAGATTTGGCGGTGGATCGGTTATGGTGTGGGGTGACATCACTATGACTGACCGAACCCCACTCAATATTGTGCAAGGAAGGGTCACTGGACAGTAGTATCGGGACAACATACTGACACCCTTTGTTTTCACGTTTGCAAGGCGTGTTAGTCGACGTTTTGTCTTTCAGGGCGACAACGCCCGTGCTCACTGTGCACGAATCGTCAATGCTCACCTCCAGCAGCACAACATCCATAGAATGCCATGGTCATCAATGAACCCAGACCTTTCCCCATTGAGCACGTTTGGGACATGATAGGGAGACGTGCGCGTCAACGTCATATGCCGCCGACCACGTCGGCTGAACTTGGTCAGCAAGAGGAGTGGAACAGACTCCCTGAAATCGCCATTTGGGCGACTCATATACGCAGTATGCCTCGTCGAGTGAATGAATGTTTGAAATATAAAAAAAAACATTTATCATAATAGTAGAACCTTATCCCGAGGTTGGCATAATAATTATCCCAGAAGATATTTTCTGACAAGGAAGTATCATGATTGGTAGTGATTTAATATTTATTTTATAGCCATTCACAAAACATTATCTTGTGTGTAAAGTCTCGCCGATCATTATAGTAACACTTCGTTATCGATCGATCAATAACTTAAAGCCATTTCAACGTGAAGTCCTTACATAAGCCTTGTCAACACTGTGCTCTCATACTAAAAATCTGCGTGTCTCGGACAACGGATAACCGGACATGGGTTCGATGACCCATGGACTTTCGAGATAATGCGATTTCGCTGGATCAGAGGGACAGGTTGTCAGCCAACGGCAACCACGACCATCGCCCTGTACACATGCTAATTGAAAGAAAAACCCGTATCCACGCTGCGGGTAGAAGCGTCGACTGGCAGACCAAAGTTACTTTATCAGTCAACAACAACAGTGTTGACACCTGTAGGTCGGAACGGCAGGTGATAAGGGTATTAATGAGAAACGATAGGTCTGAAATCAGGTTTTGATCAGGTATAACCGCTGTGATAGCTACACCACGTGAACACGACCTGGCGCTGGCGCCTTTTGCACCTACGCAGGGAGGCAAATACACTACATTGATCATTGTACATAACACAAAAAATAAAAGTCAATTTTACCGTACTACCCAAAAATGAATATAAATGTCAATTTCACCGTAATTCAGACAAATATTTTTGCATACCATGTGTTTTTATTATCGTGTATGTAAAACAAGAATCGTCCTGTTTAGAGTGAAATTCAGAATTGTTAATGATCATCCAGTTTAAGATTATTTCAAATAATATCCCCCACTCTACTTTATACGACAATGCTGATAAGTTAGCTTCTGCCAGCTACTAAGCTACCTTCAGTGACAAATATAAGCAGATCCAGATGGGGGGGTGGGTTGGAGGTGTGTGTTGTGAGGGGTGGGGGGCGGTGGGGGTGAGGGGTGGGGGGTGGAGGAGTGTGTTGGTTGGGAGGGGGGGGGGGGGGGTGCTAGTCTAAACGTATCGCAACATTATAACTAAATCAATTGGTATTGTATTAAAATATAAAAAAATACACTACGCAGATTGAAATTTTAGCAATCATCTGTGTTAACTGGTTATCCCAAAACGCATACCTACGTTTCCACAAAACGGTATCCGACATCACTAAACTTCACGGGACTTAACACATCGGTCTGCACAGTGATCAGTTACCACCCGATCCGTCAAATATTAACAACGCACCCTCGCATAATAGCCGAAAAATACACACACCCAAATCTCTTCTGAACGCTGAGATATAGTAAGGGAAAAACTTACCGTCCGAGCGGGGTTTGTGCTGGTCAATCCTAAGCCTGGTCAGTCGATCCAACATGGCCTTTCGTTCCACGTCGACTCGCCTGGACATCGCCGTCAAAAGGGGGGGAAAGTGTATATTGAGGTACGAATGACACACAGAGGGCTTCTGAACTTCAACACTGATTGTCCTATGCGGTGCACACACCAGGGTGGGTGTAATGGCCGCTAGCAGGTATCGATATGTGCTCAAAAACTATACAAGTCGCTTTTATACAGGAAATGCGGCATTGGATCAAAACAATTCAGAACCCCCGAATAAACTTAATTTTGACTCAGAACCAAATCCGGGTGAAATCACTATCAGAGCTCGTTCAAATGACGTCATCCAAGTAAATTCTGTAATTCAATTCTCATTAATATAACACAGTTACATCTGAGGTACTTTATGAGTACTGGGTCTGCACCTCGAGGTGCCCTTGACGCCTGCCGATCTGATTCCTGTCATACACCATGTCACCATTAGGAGTGTCTATAGCAATGAGAGGGGGGCGTGTCGCCGCGCGGACCTCAGTGTAAACAACCCTTTCAGGCTTGAGCGTTGTGATGTTAACGTGTAATCGAACCCCTTCTAATTAAATCCATGATAAATCGGCATTTACGTGAAGAGTGTTGATTTCGCTACTTTCATGTCGACCTTTCATCGATCTTCGGTATTAGTATTTCAAACGTTAACTGCGATATGTCGATAAATGCTACATTCTTGAAAGAATATCAATACACGCGTTTGCATTGTACTATACGAGCTACATACATGTAACTTGAAATAAAAATAAAACTCCATAAATTTTAACAATAAAAAGCACTAATTGCAGTCATCAGTCGTGTACGCGTGAAGATCCGGGTTAGAATAGGTCTTCAGCAACCCACGATTGCTGTAAAAGGCGACATTTACGAGGGGACTAACGGGATCGGCCTCGCTGACTTGGTTGATGCATGTCATCGTATCTCAATTGAGTGGATCGATTCTCTATTGTCAATCCCTGGATTGTCTGGTTCAGACTCGATTTACAGACCGTCATCATATAACTGGAATATTGATGACTGCGGCGTTAAACAAACAAACAAACAAACAAACAAACATCAGTGATGTACAATGAAATCAACAATTTTCAACAATTTACGAAAGTGAAGTTATTCACACATATGTTCTTTTCAAACCTATGACGTGTTAGCGTATGATGACCTTGTACATTGACAAAAGTCTATCTTACTAAGGTATAACAGTTTTCATGTATTAAGTACCATACGTCCCGTGCTCACAGGACTGCATTTGAACACAATTTTCAACCAGGCATTATGTTTTTTGAATCATCAAGCGACTAGGTATTCTCTGTTGATGAAAATGGGCAAAATTGGCAACCGCGCTTTCGTCAAGTATTTCCAACTGAGAGGGTTAAGTCCATCAGCCATCCATGCGGACATGGTGTCAACTTTAGTGGGGGTAATGCTCCTTTCTTTGCCACATTTAGGAGATTATGAGATGGGCAGTTCACGGGGAGAAGGGAGAGCCTCGAAGATGATCCATGATCGGGAAAGGCCTTCAACTGATACCACTAGGGAAAATGTTGATAAATTAAGTGAGATGATTTTGATTTTGATCGATGACTCACCACACATTACAGGGCCAATACAGAAGGCATCTCTCAAGATCTTATGGCACGCTGGGTTCCAAGACTTCTGACTCACACCAAGTTCATCATCTCGTGAGAACTTCCGTCGTTTTGAAGCAAACCCAGCAGATTCTGTTGAGCGACTTGGTGAATCTTGGGTGAATCTTGGGTAAATCTTGGGTGAATCTTGGGTGAATCTTGGGTAAATCTTGGGTGAATCTTGGGTGAATCTTGGGTGAATCTTGGGTAAATCTTGGGTGAATCTTGGGTGAATCTTGGGTGAATCTTGGGTTAGTCTTGGTTCCACCACTCTAAGTCCTTAGGCAACAATGTGAGAATATCAAGGCTAAAAATAGTCCTGTAAAACTCACTAAAGGTGTGTTACTCCACGGGACAATGCACTGAACAGAAGCCAGGGTTGAAATGCATGACTGTGGCTTTGAACTCACTGAACACCCTCCGTCTTTACCAGATTTGGCACCGTCAGATTTCCACCTCTTCCCAAAGTTGAAGAAGGAAGTGTCTGGCAAGCATTATCCAAAGCCTTCTTTCTACACCAGTAGGACCAGGCTCTCCAGCATCGTTGGCAGAAGTGTGTGTACCTGATCAGAGGGGATTATGTTGAAAGATAAATAGCAGCCAACTACATTAACGCAGCTCATCATGTTTAGGCTCTAAACCATTCAGTCACCCAGGAGATGAAACGTATTCATGACGTCCGGTACCAACTGATGCATGGCGGGCAACCAAGATCAACGACAATATGTTACGATGAAGATGTCAAGAAAATATGAACATGTTTAATTGTTTCTTCTAATTGCATATTAGTAGAACCAACCGATACATACACTTTGCATGTCATTGCAGTTGCTTGTTCTGGACGCGGTGCATAGTTAGGTGGCATCTTCCCAATGTCGTCAGCCGTGATTAGTACTTGACGCAGTTGTTACTCGACTAAGGATCGATGCCATGGTAACACAGAAAGGGTATCCCTGGTTACCCCAGTGGATGTGGTTGGTGTTCTTCACTGTGGATTCTTCAGTGAATTTGGGGTTGATTTACGTCCAGGAGACCGCCTGCAGTGAGTGCCTGCTTGAAAAGGGAGAGAGTGCTTAAGCCTTCTTGAGAGTCTTAACACCGATGTGTGATAAATTGGTTATATCGGGCGATATTGATGTCGTATAAAAATTGATTAATGGGCTGCAGCAGTGTGGACGACATACAACTTATTCCACATGTAGGAACATATTTGGTCTGAATTTAACTATGGATGTACGGCATATAAAAACGGGCTCATGATTTAATTAGGTTAAATCAGATTTTGATAATCGTGATATTTGCATTTCCCAATTTAAGATTATGTTAACCTGACATTTATCTACATATAATTGTTGTTTGTTTGTTGTTTAACGCCACACTCAGCAATATTCCAGCTATATGAAGGCGGTAATCAACATATAACATTAAAGAAGATTAGTCATCCGGAAAATGTCTAGAATTTGGTTGAAGGAATCAGAGGCGCTTAATATTGTTTTGGCATATTCATATTTGAGAAAAATACTGGTCAAATAAATCACTTCTACTCTATGTGTCTTTGTTTGTTTGTTTGTCTGTTGTTTAACGCCGCACTTAGCAATATTCCAGCTATATGGCAGAGGTAAGTGAATAATCGAGTCTGGACCAGACAATCCAGTGATTGACATCATGAGCATCGATCCACGCAACTGGGATACGAGGACATGCACCAACCGAGACTGACCACCCGATCCCGTTAGTCGCCTCTTACGACAAGCATAGTAGCCTATACGGCAAACATGGGTTGCTGAAGACCTGTTCTACCCGGGTCTTCGCGGGTCTCTATGTGTCACTAAATACAGACTGGTTTAATTATAGGGTACAGACTCAGAGAATGTCGTGACGTTGGACTGACGTACGTTCATGCTAAAGGTCGATGTCAAATGATATTAAACTGACACGTGTCTAAATGGCGTGTATGTTATCAGTTTAGTGTACGTAAAACGAATATTGGGGATTTACCACGAGGAAGCAGGATCAAGTCTGTATTGGTTCGAGTGAACAGCTGTTCAGCTATATCACGGTGTGTCAAAGGGATATCGGAGGAAAGTGATGTTTTAGACGAGCACGGGTATGGTGCTGACACATCTGGAAACATAATCGGGGCGAACCGGATCCAAACCCACGATCATAGGTTTCTGCCACGTCAAGGGAATGCAACTTATATGATGATGATAACAATAATGTATTTGTATCTATTACAGTTCGTTTGTATGTTGTTTTACGCCGCACCCAGCAATATTCCAGCTATATGACGGCGGTCTTTAAATAATCGAGTCTGGACCAGACAATCCAGTGACTGACAACATAAGCATCAACCAAGTCAGCGGGCCTGACCACCCGATCCCGTTATTCGCCTCTTACGACAAGCTTAGTCGCCTTTTACGGGTTGCTAAAGACCTATTCTACCCCGATCTTCACGGGTGAGCTTGATGTGGAAACCGGAAGTGATGCAGTTCTCAGACGTTCACCACTCTGGTGAAACCAGCGAGCACGGGTATGGTGCTGACAAACCTATAAATATAATCTGGGCGAACCCAGATTTGAACCCACGATCATAGGTTTCTGTTGTGCCCAAGGGAGGTTACTCTGTATAGCGAACTGCGTCTTAGACGACTGGGCCACCTGTGCCCACTTGTGAGGATGAAATAAAAATTATAACATGTTTGTAAACCAGGTACAACCGATATACCAATCATATCAGTGACGTGTGTATAAACACTCACCATGTGTATTTTTGATACAACCACGTACATTTCACAACCTGTGGTCGATTCTGACAGTACAAAGTGTTAGAAAACATAAATAAAATCATGATTAACATAGCTATTTATTAAAAACGTGTACAATCATATATATTATATTGCGTAGAAGAGTATAAATCGTATATGTACTGGTTTGGCTTCAGGCACCACTGCATTAATATTAAGAACACTGATCGTCAGTCACTGGCAAGTCAAACAAGAAACAACCAACTCATATAAGATGGACAGACATATCATATTTCCAATGTAAATACAGAAAGTTCATGACATTTTGTTCACGATGTCACTATCTATTCGAGTAACCAACTAACCTACACAATTCCAACAGGTTCTTGTCATACAAACGCTGGAATATTATTGTTTGTTATTATGTATAGATATACTTTGTAGTGAGTGAGTGAGTTAGGTTTCATACCGCTTTTAGCAATATTCCAGTAATATCACGGCGGACACCAGCAATGGACTTCACACATATATACTTGGTAACTTGCATGTATTTTTGATTGTGTGTGAACTATAATCTGTAAACATATTTTTGTGTACTCCCAAAAGAAATAACATTATAAAAAAAGTTATCATCGGGTGGATTTCTCAAAAGACAATGACAAGATGAGTTATGTTGTATTTGGTATACGCCATAATTGAGGTGTGTAGAAGACTTGAAAATGCTTTGGTTTCATACTATCCTTGGTCACTAGGGCTGGGGTTTGATTCGACATTATATATCCATGAAGTGAATCGGGGTTCGGCGTCTGCTTGACGGCGGTCTCGTCTGGTGGCAATCACAGTTCAAGTACCGGAATATCTTGACGCAGTGCTCTCCCTTTACGCTGAATTCCGTGGCCACCAGGTGTCCCTCTCGGCCGACGCTGATGGAGTGTACTGTACCTGCGCCGTCTACAGGGGAGAGGAGTTGTTGAAGGAGAACCCCCCTCTCTGTGTACAGGTTCACCGTGTGGTTGAGGGTGTCGGAAACGAGTACCTCACCCACTACGTTCACACAGATACCCCCTGGAACAAACGTGAGTGCCTCTCCACAGGAACTGGGCCGGAACCGGTTCAAACAGCGGCCATCATACGTGAAGAACTTGACTTGAGCATCGACTGGGTCACTGACGATGATTTCTTCATTCTTGTTGGTGCAGATTTGAACAGGGCAGCTTGAAGTGGCTTTCCCGCCAAATTTGAATGAGTGCAACAGTTTACCCACCCGGCGATGTACTTCTATCGTCCTCGACGTTGTTGCTACTATGATGTTGAATGAAACATCGCAGGCAAGGCTATACGGTTCGTGTTGAGTAGGGAAGAGATATTTGAATTTTCCCTCGGGTGTGAAGACTTGGACTCTTTTGTTGCGTCTGTCCGCCACAGCCAAGTCGCCATTGGGCAGCTCACATACATCAACGGGTTCATTAAACTGACCTGGCTCCGAACCCTTGACTCCAAACTTCACCTTGTATACGCCCATCTGATTGAGGATTTGGACGCGATGGTTGTGACTGTCGGCAACGACGATGTCGCACGAGTCGGTAGCAACCAGGCCACGTGGGTAGTGGAAGTCGCCGCTCTGGGTTCCGAGTTCGCCGGTCCTCAAGAGTAGCTTGTCTGGTCTGAACAGAAATAAGGTTATATATATGTAAATATGAACGAAGAATTGCCCGGGTTGTATATTGAATGTAGGTACATTTTCAACTCTTATTGTCACATTGATTTTATTATCAAACTGGGTTTACATATTTAAAAACAACAACATAATTATCACCTGAAACGTTTTTAGAACCGATATAAAAAAAGGAATCCTAACGTATATTTGGACTGGAGACCCAGGTTGTTTTTGAATTATTGATGGCACTGATATAATTAAATGCCAATGTCGACATGAAGCAGGTGTAATCAGGTACTGACGGTCTCCTGCCCTGCGTCTTCTCCTCGGGCTTCTTGCGCAGGTTCCCCACGTGATCATACGTCTGTCTCAGACCACGTGACAGCAGCCTCGCCTCCCAATCCCGCGGGTCTCTCATTTCCCGGGCGCACTCGGGCCCACAGTCATGAACTGCAATACAGAGGGAATACCAGACTCAAAATATATTATATAGTTCAGACAACTTATATTGTTCTGATAAAGACGAGGTATTTCAGAGCTTACACGAGTTTGGAGTGAGTGAGTATGGTTTTACGCCGCTTTTAGCAATATTCCAGCAATATCACGGCGGGGGACACCAGAAATGGGCTTCACACATTGTACCCATGTCGGGAATCGAACCCGGGTCTTCGGCGTGACGAGCGAATGCTTTAACCACTAGGCTATCCGACCGCCCTCATGATTTTTGAGTATCTTCTTTTTTCGTTGTTCCGGGTTGGACCTGGGGGTCAAACTCATGGCTGGTTGGATTGTTGTTGAACGCCGCACTCAGCAATATTCAAGCTATATGACGGCGGTCTGTAAATAATCGAGTCTGGACCAGACAATCCAGTGATTAATATCATGAGCATCGATCCACGCATCTGGGATCGATGACATGCATCATCCAAGTCAGCGAGCCTGACCACCCGATCCCGTTAGTCGCCTTTTACGACAAGCAGAGTCACCTTTTACGGCAAGCATTGGTAGCTGGAGACCTATTCTACCCCGGAATCTTCACGGGTCTCAAACTCATGAATTGGACAGCAAGCCATGATTGTCGTCAGCGGTGACTAACGGGATCAGGTGGCCGGGTTCGCTCACTGAGTAAATGCTTGTTATCGTATCCCAATAGGTTAGATAGATACTTATGATGTTAATCACAAGATTGTATAGTCCAGACTCGATTATTTAAGGACCCGCGCCATTCATCTGGAATATTGCTGAGTGCGGCGTTAAACAACCAACAAATCAAGCCACAATATAAGATGTTATCACAATCCTATTTCAAATACACATTATATAGTTGTGTTTTGAACCTTAGGTTTGCAGTGTTTCGGCGACTGTTTTCATACTAGGAACGTTTTGTTAACGTTTGTAATTTCTTGGTGAAGTCGAATATTCAAGTGTATACTTTCTTTTGCCCGACACTTTGCATCATAAAACGGGAGGTGTGACAACGGATTATTATAAACGACAGATGGAGGTAATTGAAGCGTTCATAAAATACCATCTCCTGTTGTGTTCGAGTCTAAAGTTCGGACAAGGAGTTTAGCATATCACACTATACTATATAACACATAGTTCAATGACAAAGCCGCATTAAATAAATCTAATCTTAGATCAGAATAAAAATGACAGTCAATGTGAAAGTGTTTCTCATCGTACACAGCATCACAGTTCATTTGAATGTTCTCTGTAAAGACCAGTCTCATCATATGCAGGGAGGGTTGGTTTGTTGTTTAACGCCGCACTCAGCAAAATTCCAGCTATATGACAGCGGTCTGTAAATAATCAAGTCTGGATCACACAATCCAGTGATCAACATCACTAGCATCGATCAACGCAACTGGGATCGATGACAAGCATCAACCAAGTCAGCGAGCCCGACCACTCGATCCCGTTAGTCGCTTCTTACGAAAAGCATAGTCACCTTTTACGGAAAGCATGGGTTGCTGAAGACCTATTCTACCCCGGATCTTCACGGGCCTGCAGGGAGCGAACCACACCTGAACTTGGAGAGTGTGTTTCCTTCATTTCGTCCTTTAACTCAGTAAAGATATGACGTAGGAGTACTCTCATATTTAAAAGTCCTATTATAACATGTTCTGAATTTATTTCCATTCAAGTGCCCTTTGTCGTCCTAAATTTCAAGTGACCACAGTTGTTGTTTTCTATATGAATAAGAACATCTTTTAAGAAGGGGTTGGACTAGTGAAGATCCTGGTTAGAATAGGTCTTCAGCAACCAATGCTTGCCGTAAATGGCGACTAATGAGATCGGGTGGTCAGGCTAGCTGACTTGGCTGATGCATGCCATCGCATCCCAATTGCGTGGATCGATGTTCATGATGTTAATGATGTAAATCATTGTCTGTACTTGCTCCCGTCATATACCAAGGGGGCGGTCGGGTAGCCTGGTGGTTAGAGCGTTCGCTCGTCACGCCGAAGACCCGGGTTCGATTCCCGACATGGGTACAATGGTGCCCCCCGCCGTGATATTGCTGGAATATTGCTAAAAGCGGCGTAAAACCTTACTCACTCACTCACTCATATACCAAGGCTATTGCTCATTGTGGCGTTAAACAACAAACATATATGGGGTGGGGATATACACCGGAAGTGGGCATCCTCCTGGTCTGCGAGATATGGTTTTTTTTGGAGTGTGTGTGTGTGTGTGGGGGGGGGGGGGGGGGGGGGAGATTTGACTCACATGGCCTGTCTCCCGACGACTTGTAGAGGTGTCTGTTTGCGTCATGGTACAGTTGCCTGTAGGACGTGACAGGTGCCCGGGGGGTGGGGGAGGTGTACCCCAAGCTGTACAGTCGGTAGCGGGACAGGTAGTCCACCATAGTTCGCCTGGCACCATATAGATGATTACATAAGTGTGGGTCATGCTGATTTTGTGACACGAATGTATTATAAACATGCATTTCACAAGAGAGGTAACCAAACATCATTTCAATGATATACTCAGCCTGGTTCCCTAGGTTACTGCCCCAGCGCTGCATACCCAGGGAACCAGGCTGTGAGATGTTTTACTCTGACAGTTACTACTCTGCGTGAAGAGATGACAAGTCTTCCACGTGAGGTCGGCAGGTAACGTTCTGGTCAGCCAATGAGCGTGGATGCTTCTGAATTCTCAGAACGATCGAGAGAATCATTCAGAGCAGCATATCTGATATCCGTACCTCGAAACGGGAGTGTATCCTATCGGAATAAAAAATCTGAATAAAATGAAATTAGTTGGTTGGTTGTTAAACGCCGCACTCAGCAATATTCCAGCTATATGACGGCGGTCTGTAAATAATCGAGTTTGGACCAGACAATCCAGTGACTAATATCATGAGCATCGATCCACGCAATTGGGATCGACGACATGTATCAACCAAGTCAGCGTATGAAATTGGAGATGACCACGAATGTAATAATTACTATAATGTTATACACACGATTTTGATTATTGTGAAGAGATATTGTCTCCTATGTTGAAAACTATATCGTGAACGTATTAGTGACATGACATGACGTCAACAAGAATAGGCTGTGATGTCATCGATCGTGACGTCTGAATGTATAACGTCAACAATGCTGTCTGCATTGTGTCAACATAGTGAAAAACCTTTGATCTACGACGGAATGTCTGCCTCGAGTGAATTAATTTTGTTCTGAGCCTTGGCAAGGGAATTTCATCATTATTATGTGAGTTGCGAGTATAGTCTAGTAGCTTATTTATTTTATTTCACACAGTCTACCTTTTCAAGTAAATATAGAAACGTGGGTTTCCTGATCGCAAGTTTGTGACGCCATGGACAGTAAATGCGCCCATACCACGTCACGATGCTTTGGACCTCTTTCGGACACAATAACAACGATGAGACAAGTGGGGCGAATATTGGATCAGTGATCGCACGCGTGGTGTGTCCTTAAAAGTAGGCTGAATGTGAACAGTGTCAATGACGTGGCAAGCTGTCATAAAGATGTTCCATCAAAATAATGACGTCACACCAAACGCTATGGCGTCATGATGCCCCCACGTCACCAATGATACAGGTCACGTGTAAGATTTATTATACGAGTACCTCGTCATATTTTGTTTATTCTGAACCCATATGGAAGTTGAGTAGATCTTGTCACTGGCAAATGTCCACATCCCGCGACATCTCTTTCAAGGGCATTAGTATACCCATATAAACGTCCGTCGTTATTCAGATGTCTAGATTATTTATACAGTGGATCAATATAGGCATGTTTTATAAAAAGATGCTTTCGCACAGTCGGTCGATAATAATGGGATAAAAAGAATATATAACTCGCTAATGTCCATATATTGCCAATACCCTCTCTAGACCAATATGCCGACCGTCATAACCTCCCAGTGTGGAATTTTCAAGGCCACTTCATACTCAAAGGGGCCACTAATTATAATTCGTTATAACCGTAGTTAGTTAAAAGCATATGTACATTATTTATACAACAAAATGACGAGATTAACAACAGTTCGTTATATCCGTCAGTTCGTTACAAGCGTGTTCGTTATAAACGTAGTTTACTGTAATTCGTAGCTCTTTGAATTTCCATCCGATTACTTATTTTTAATTCGTTATAACCATAGTTCGTTATAAGCATATGTACATTATGTATACAACAAAATGACGGGACTAAAAACAGTTCGTTATATCCGTCAGTTCGTTACAAGCGTGTTCGTTATAAACGTAGTTTACTGTAATTCGTAGCTCTTTGAATTTCCATCCGATTACTTATTTTCAATCTCATGAGGCCATTCTATACGAGGTAGGCAGTTATGTTCATTATCTTAATCAGGTGATAGGTAACAGTAATTAGTTGGATAAGGTCTGGGTGATTTTAACTGTGTATTTTTATCACACATCAATACAAGTACTGTTTAAACTGGCTAATCAGCTACGGCTAACTCTTGACACACGATGTCGACATACCTCTAACTAATTTACACTAAGAGTACACGTTTTGCTGAAGTAAATCAAATTGTGCCACAACCGAAGATTAACAGTAACTCAACTGATCGGTAAAATATCCTGACCCGGACTGTATATATACAGCTATTGATTTGGTTTAGGTGAACATGATTGATTGGTGTGTTTTGGGGAGGCCTGTTGATTTAGGTCCGGTTACTTCCCTGTTTTGATTCAAACATTTGCGTTGTTGCTCTACAATTCATAATGATAATACCTTATGGGGGCGTACACATTGTCGGGAAATATGATGGCTACATTACCGTAAAATGTTGCATAGGCGTATTTCTAGTATCAAACTGAATACGCTAAAAATGGGTCATTCGCGTGTCAATATTCATTTCTACGTGGAAAAAAAACAACATAAAACCCATGGCCGATTTTCTCTAAGCTTGAATAAATAAGTTTTACAACAGATTCAGTAATTATATCCTTGGTCTGATACGTGATTGTTAATCAAATCCAAGTTAAATAATGTATTAACTTGACATGTCTATAAACCCATGTAATTACAGCCTTAGTAATCTATGTCGCACAAAGGACAATCAAATAATGATATCAATACAGTATCACCCGACAGATATTAATGTCAACAGTTTTTAAATGACAGTGTTTCGCGAAGTTAGTACGAAAGGTGTCCAAATCTCGGTTATAAACACAAGGGAGGTAACTCGATGACCGACCGTGTCTGTCGCCTGTCAAAGTTATTGACAACACAATCAAGAATTTTGCCTCCTATCCCCAAGTTAACATAAGTGGCCAATCACACAATTCCTGTACACAATGTGACCTTCAGACACTGTATTGTGGTGGTGCACGTTATATATATATATGTTTCAATTTATACCAACCTACCTGCCTCGATATCACAATCTTATCGCCATGATGACATATGATCCGATAGCAACGCGTCGTTGACAACCTGACCAAGTCCTACGACGCATGCGCGCGGCGTTGCATAACAATCGGCTCAGCTGTTTATCATCGAAAGAACAGCTGTGTTTCCAATCTCGTCAAAGCGTTCTCAAAAATATTTACTTGAATGTGAAAGAATCGATGTTGCCCCATTCGGCTATTTTTTAACACAAGTTTGCTATGCATGCGTGCTTCTATTAATGGCAAAGTAGTCAATAGGTATAAAATGACATGTCGTTTATATACGATTGGAGATTGTTTTCTTTAACTGAACAGCATTTTTTCTGTGAGTGAATGAGTAAGTATGGTTTTACAACGCTTTTAGAAATAGTCCAGCAATACCAAGGCGGAGTACAGTTCACTTAGTTTGTTGGTTAACGCCGCACTCAGCAATATCTTAGCTATATAACGGCGGTCTGTAAATAATCGAGTCTGGGCCAGGCATTCTAGTGATTGACAATATGAGCCTAGATCTATGCAATTCTGATACGATGACATGTATCAACCAAGTCAGCGGACCTGACCACCCGATCCTGTTAGTCGCCTCTTACGACAAGCATAGTCGCCTTTTTCAGCAAGCATGGGTTGCTGAAGATCTATTCTACCCCGGATCGTAATGGGTTCAGTTCACTTAGTGTTATACTTGGACATACAGACTGACCCTTATAATTGTAGTAGCTGCGGTTGCTGTGTTTTTGTTGAAATGCATTTATTTTGACAGGGTTTTTTTCTTCTTCTTTTTTCATGGTTTTCGCATTTGTCTGATGACTTATTAGATCTAGCGTTTGATGTGTTTTTAATTGTGTCGGTATTTAAATCTGTCACTACCCGTAAAGATCTGAGTGAGAATTGATATTCATCAACCCATGCTTATCGAAAGAGGCGACTAGCGGGATCGGGTTGTCAGGCTCGCTGACTTGGTTGATGCTTGTCATCGTATTCCATTTGCATGGATCGATGCTCATGATGTCAATCACTGGACTGTCTGGTTCAGAATCGATTATTGAAGAATGCCGTCATATAGCTATATAGCTGGATCTTCACTTCTCTCTTATTTTTTTCGTTTTTATTTTGGTTTTATCTTCTAATATTTATAAAATAAAGCATTTAGGCAATGCAAAAAAAAATAACAGATACATTTTAATTAATTTTCTGATTGGGTTTTGGGGTTTTTGTTTGCTCTGAAACCGATGTTATGGAAAAATTACCCTTTTCGTTTGAAAATATGGAAATGCTTCGAACGTTTAGGATATTGCAATTTAAGACTTGTGTGCAGGTTTACCTTTACTCGTTCTGAGGCGTTAATTTTGACATGAAAACGAGAAATGAAAACAAGATACAGGCTTTGTTCCTTAAGCCGTAGTTTTCACTCTCTGGTTCTCCCAAGGACCATGTGTTACTGTCGACATTCAGAACTTTAAGAATATAGAACGACTCGAAATAATGACAGCTGCTCAAAAGTCGTGTGTACAAAATGTACAGTTTAATTTAATTGTTATTCTAAATGACTGGCCGGCCCGTGTTTTCCTCTGTGATAATGTTAAACGCAGAAAAAAAATGCTGATCATGTACAAACACAAAAGCGAACCAGCAGACTTTACATCCATGGAGGCGCCTGACAAAAGTCATGTGTCTTGGCGATACTGAATGATGCGCTATTAAAATCCCATTAAAACCCGGGTGCCTGCGGCTATGCATTTGGATTTACCCGAGGTTAAACTGTTGTGTGTAGATGTTTGCCTAAACCAAAGAAATACAAAACAAAATAGTTTTTTTTTACGGCTTAATTCCATGTTGTATGTGATATTAATAAGTCTTGACCAGCGGGATTCCGTACGAGCTGTCTTCCCCGTTGGGAATCTGACTCTGATCATTTAACGGTGTGTGTGTGTGTGTGTGTGTGCGTGCGTGCGTGCGTGCGTGCGTGCGTGCGTGCGTGCGTAAATACCGATGTTTTCAATGCCATGTCATGAGAAAATATGTCATATGGCCCTGCACATTTTCGTGAAGGTTCAGCTCTATGGATCTTGCGGATTCTGAAAAAAACTTGCCTTGGCCGTTTTGACTCAAAATCCATAAGGCACTGCAATATCGAAGATGGCTTTGATTACCAATGTTCTGTTTCGAAAAAAAGGTGGTGTTTTGGACAAAATTCGCGTCCCTACGTTTAGGCTCTGAACATGACCGACACCCTACTGCACAATTCTCCCCAGAACATCGTATCAACACCGTGACTGTGACGATACAGGGCATCTGACAAGGAAACTACGCTTGATCTTGCAGTGCGTAGAGACCAACCATTGTATGTTCTAGGGGGTAGAGGGGTGGGGTTTGGGGTTTTGAATAATGTGTTCCGTTAGTATATGGGAAAAGTCATTGGCCTCAGATTTTTAATAAAATACAATGTTCATTGGACGAATTCCTGATATATTCATAATAAATGTATAAAAGTTTGCACACCATTTTTTCGATTCATGCCTCAATGAACCGAAGAAATGCACAGTTAATCCTTAAATTAACGTTTGCGTTCATATTGACATGTTATAATACAGTATACACGTTTAATATATATCCACATACGCGTACAACCGATTTGTAAATATTCTCTTTCATATATCTTCGGATAATAGATTTTTGGACAAGATATGTTTTCGGGCGGCCATGTTTATCGCATAACTCGCGCCATAACAAGGGGGGTGGCGTCACACAGACATTGTAAATACGCAGATAATGGCATATTTTTAAGATAACGTTGTCTTTCATAAGTGAGTGAGATGTTTTACAGTTGTTCATGTGATTAGCGAGAAAACTACGAATGTTTCTTAAGCGTCCGAAAACCTATAACACGGAGATGAATATGTTTTCGATATTTCTGGGTTTTTCTCAGTTCAGACAAAAAAATGCTTGGAGGATAACCTACGAGCCACGAGGGGTTATGGGCTATCTGTCCCGAGAGAATTAATTATATAAGTTCTGAGCCACGAGCGACATGCAGATCATCGGACATTCCGAGTCTAGAGTACATGAGTAGGTTATTCTGTATTTTACGAGTTTTTTCGTGATTAAATGTCGAAAATGTGGGCTTCCTCATCGCCGGGTGAGACAGCAGCTGAGTAAGCCATTGTTGGAACGACGTCATAAAAATGGTTTGTGGCGTCATGAACAGTGGATGACGCCATCTTCAATATTAATGCGACAGTACGTACGCTCCTATGACGCCATTTTGCTATGGGCCTCTTCTCAAATATTGAAAACAATGGAACAAAAGGTAAGAAATAGACAATCAGCATGAAGAAACGGATATAATTCTTAGTGGGAATTATTTGAAATATGTTCATCTATATCCGCCCTCCTATGAGGAATATATAGTCTCTATAGTTAAAATAAGATAATACGCTTTATTGGGAGACCAGTCCGTAAGTAATGTTCAGATTTATATTTTCATATTTGAAAAAATACAACTGTGACTAACACAAAAATTCATGTATCATGTATACCCTTACAGCGTAAACCCCAACGTTGACTGGTACCTACGGGACATCTATACATAAAAAAACAGGTGCAGGAATGGCTCCTTTGCAAAAACGTCCCAGACAATTTGGAGAAAATTGCCACAAATTTTGTTAAAATGGACCCAAATAAAACTTAGTTATCTAGTTTATACAGTCATTACATGGGACCGTCGTCTACCATTTTGAATATTTATTGTTATTTTGTTTGTTTTACATTAGGACCATTGTCATATAAAAAGTAAGATAGGCCAGAGACAGTGACACATACTGGAGAAGTGATGACTGGTGATGGCCCCAAATTGATCCCATGTATTAATTTTTAGGATTATGGAGGATAGTAGTTTAACAATATTTATTTTAAAAAGGAAATGGGTGTAATACGAGAGTAAAAGTTTATTCTAGCCCTAATATAGACAGAAAAGAGGGCCCAAGTAAAGATTGAAATATATCCCTAAGATCGTACAGGTTTTTATTGTGATGGTATAAAGGCGAGATCAGTGAGGCTGAAGACCTCTTGTCCTTGACTTTCTGTAAACACCACATTCAGGAATGGTCTTATATTTCAAACTTGACTTTTTATTCTTGAACTGAAAGATTAACATATGACAGTTATCCGCTGTATCGCCTGTGATTTCATTTTGGGAAGCAGTATCGTGCTCGAAGAAACGACCTTGACCTGCTCCGGAAGTTGTGGAATTTACAAAATGGCTGCTTCTCCAAACACTTCTGCGGCTACACTCACACCAAAGAAGAAAGATGAATCATTCCTTGATAAAATAGGAACTTTGGCAAGGAAGAAGAAAGCCAAAGAAGGTTTGCAATTTTGAACGTGGTTATTTTGTTGTTTTCCAATGTTTTGATGTGGTATTATACAGCTCTTTATCACCTCGCCCACAGATGTCCCGGGTCGTGTGTAAATAGCCATAAAAGGAAATATCGCACAATTTCTCGATTGGATTTTTTAATTTTTTGAATGAGAGTGTATTATTGAAATGTTGGTGGTTAGTGTATGTGAATTAAATTAAAGAGCTTCGGATGTAACAGCCATGCTTCATTCATGACTCACGTTGACAGCAGTAAACATGGTAAACAGTCACAACCCCGAGTAAACAGACAAACGGTGCCAAGTCAGCCCTGAATACCAGAGACCACACCAATGTTTTGTTTTATGGCATTCGGGGACACCGTCAATAATCTGTCATAAAGCAACACCTAAACTGTTCAACTGTAAAAACTCAAGAGGCTGTGTACAGGTACTACAGATAAGTACCCCCGGTACGTTTCTGTATCCTGACGTACCCTATTTTCGAACAGTTAAGATGGCATTCCTGATATTTCGATGAATGAGTGAATCCAAATTCAAATTCTGCATCATATCAGTGGGTGATGTCTTCAACAATAGAATTCAGTTACATTCCGAAGAAAAAACTCTTTGATAAAAGGCGTGACCTCCATTACCTTGTCTGGAGACTTCTGCTGCACTCGAGTGACGTCACCTATATTGTCAAACACCTGATTGTTTTTGTACATTACCAGGGTTTTCATGAATGAAGAGACATGTTTAGGTGCACAGTTCTCAACATAATTCTTGGGGTCGGCATTAAAACTAAAAAAGTAATTTATAGTTTGATACCTATTCACAAAATATGAATATTTGTCACATGATTGTGTTCACACTGTTTCACTCTTCCTTTTCATCATGACACAGGCACCAAAAGTCTGAATAACGACAGAATTTTCTGACAGGTGTTCAGTACTTCACATAAACTCAATATGTTGACAGACCGAACGCATGCATTCTCAAGTCGGCAGCTTTGATGACGTCACACCTCTCCCTTTAATGTGACAATATCAATATCAAACACGTCGTTAGAAAATAGGGTACTTGACGATAAAATCATGAAAATGAGAGGTACCCTAATCAAAATCAGAATACAGAAAGACACCCAAGGATGAGTCCATTCTGCTGCTAGCCGTATTGTGCAATGCATTTGACCAGTTCCTTGAACACTTACGTACCGGTATATATACGACCTGTCCTGGATGCCAAACGCGGTAAAATTCGTCATGGCATGACACTTAGTATATGTTTCTCTCGGTATTTCCTTTCCATAAATGGATCCGAACTGTCATACGTTTGTATGAGATGCATTCCAGCGTGTCATATGAGAAACGAGCATACACAGTAACATACATACATTATTCTAATATTCCACGATACACAGCATTATCCAGCATGCACTGATCATCAGGCAAACAAGAACTACAACACGAACAGGCGTCGGATTGAGGAATATGGACTCGTCCGCCTTTTAGGGTACTGGGTACCTTTCTGTATTCTGATTTTGGCTAGGGTACATATCTGTATACAGAAACGTACTTGGGGTACATATCTGTAGTACCCGTGCTGTGAAAACGAATTAGGGAACAATGACAAGTATATAGGGAAATAGGTTTTACTTTCAGTACATTTGAATAACGCGCATACAATTTCAACACGTCAGAATCCAATGTTGAGATGTTTTTGTGTGCACTGTTTCCAACGCGTATTTGGTAGACAAGGCAGGGAACCCATGATAGCATATCATCTTACAGTGTCTAAAACTAGGTGTTCCCTTGTTCATTTCTATCAGTAAATATAGATGATTCAGATGCAAACCAAATAAGGATGTTTGTAAGTTTTGATCTCCCTTTATGAACATGGCCTTGTCAAGGATTAATCATGTCATGGTGAGAGGCTGATATTCACCGCCATGTCAGCAATGTCAGTGGATATTCCCAAATTGTTATCCCAAATTTACCAATTCTTGTTACATGAGATATAACTAATGCTATGGTGGAACTTCACTGACCAATTTGAGCAAAATAACTATTTTCTCAAAACATTGCCTCCCAAGGGCACTTAGTTTGGAATTGTGGCCAATCCCTGCATTGTAGATCCATAGTCGCATCTCATATTCCTGAGGCGGTCTGGTAGCCTTGTGGTTAAAGTGTTCTCTCGTCACGCCGAACACCCTGGTTCGATTCCCGACTTGGTGCAATGTGTGAAGCCCATTTCTGGTGTCCCCCACCGTGATATTGCTAAAAGCAGCATAAAAACCCTTACTTCCTCACCCACTCTTGTTTATCTTCTTCTGTGTGCTCATCAGGGTGGTTACATGCCACAGCACATGAAGAAGCTGCTAAAACACAATCTCATTAAAATCAGATCTTAGTTCTCGCTTCTGCTAAACAAAGATCTGAGGACATCCCATTACGGGTCACGTCAGAACGACCTTTCTCGAATTTTGACCGAACAATGAAATGACTGACAAGAAATCGACATTAGCCAATCAGAAGGCAGCTTTCTCGAGCTGTACGACACTAGTTTCAAACAGGTGACTACGCTTCGAAACATATTTTGACGTATTCTCGATTACAAAAATTAAAACTGATAAGAAGAACACTCTGGAATGGCTTATAGATGGCCTAGATTGTATGGATATAATCATAAAACCCGTAACTGTCGTTCGGAATACACTGTGTCAAATATTTCGTGGTTGCATGATTAGAAAACACGTTCCGACTGTCACTTTCATGATCTGGTAAGCGACGCTTTGATTGGTCGGATGAAAGGTTGTTCTGACGTGACCCCTAATGGGATGTCCTCAAATCTTTGTTTAGCGATAGCGAGTTCAAAGATTTGATTTCAATGAGATTGGCTAAAACAATGTTTCTAACAATAACATTTACTTTTATGAATATGAATGAAATATCCCAGTGACTACAAAATCAAGCAAACTATGGTATATGATAAGTATCTCTACATATGTAATAAATCACCATTGTTTTCTGATATCTTTTAAGAAAAAGGAGCTGATTAAACTCCTGGAGAAGTACATTGTCTGCTTGTGTGCATGTCAGAGTCACATTACCAACCGTTGGTCTAACATATGATAATATTTGTGTTTAAATTTAATGCATGTATAAGGTGACACCCTTTACAAGATCGCCTGCGACATTTATGTTTGCCGTGTTAAAAAGAACTTATAGTTATATTCATCATCATCATCTTTATTAGACCCTTGGGGTTGCACGAGTGATTACAGGCAAGGGTATGAGTGAGTGAAGTAAACTTGTAAATAATCGAGTCTGGACCAGACAATCCAGTGATTGACATCATGAGCATGGATCCACGCAAATGGGATACGATGACATGCATCAACCAAGTCAGCGAGCCTGACCAACCGATCCTGTTAGTCATCTCTTACGGCAAGCATAGCTGCTGCGCGTGGCGTTAAACAACAAACTAACAAGTACAAATATAAGAAACTTGTCTCAAACATTTTGTCCTGCTTTTGAAATGTGCATCATCCATTAGTTCCTCGTTAACCTAGTAATGCACATCCTGTTGTAGTGACTGAGCTACAAGAGGAAGGGAAAAATGCCATTGAGTCTCCGACCAGCCCCTCGGTGCCGGACATCGGACCTGAAGGTTATCTTCTTGGTAAGTAAGCATAAGAATACTTATCATCATCCATTCTCTCAGTTGATTTACTTTGAATAGATCTCTTCACATTGTGTTCCAGCGGCTAGTGTTGTTATTGGGTGGTTTCCATGGGTAACCTGGTCAATGGTTTTCTCACACCTATGAATACGATGAGGTCCACATTGAGGCACTCTTGAGCTTTGCAGTCTGAGGGTCAGTTTGCCAAGGGTAGACAATTCAGGCCAACACTTCCCCCTGTCCTCAGATAACCATTTTAATTTAAATGAATCTGAAAAATGACTGCAACACAATTTTTGAAAACTGAAAAAAATTGCTACAAGACATATCCAAGTACCTATCAAGCTATTCTAACAAGGAATCTCTCTGTATATAGCAGTATCCTATCATTATATTGCCCTGACACTGGTCAATGCATAACAAATCTTAAAACTTAGAGGGGGCTGCAGATAAGAAAACAGTGATGTGAAACATTATACACATGTGCTAGAAGGAGATCTTTCTGTCATTCAGTTTTGGGGGCACAGGTGGCCCACTTGTCTAAGGCGCCGCAATTCGCTGTGCAGAGTTGCGTCCCTTTGGCATGCCAGAAACCTATGATTGTGGGTTCGAATCCTGGTTCGTCCTGATTATGTTTCTGGGTTTGTCAGTGCCATACCCGTGCTCCTGGGTTTCACCAAAGTGGTAAAAGTCTGAAACCTGCATCACTTCGGGCTTTTTCCCACATTAAGCTGACTAGCCGTGATATAACTGCAATACTGTTAAAAATGGTGTTAAACCCGACTCACTCAGTCATTCAGTTTCATTCATTTTTTATGGTTCGGTGTCTCAGTGATACCCTGCAGGTGAAGGTTTGACAGAAGCTTGAGTTGGAGCAGGATCAATGTTAGACATTTTCTCAACTGTTCAAGCAACAATGAATCATTACTACCAGTTGTGGGTGATAAGGTCCAACCTATTCCAAATGCTTCAATGGATCCAGATGTAACTATGGTAACTATTTTAACAGGTGAGAAGGAAGAAAGATCCATGATTGAGCCAGGATCTCGAGATGATGCCAAGTTAAATCAACTCATCAAGGTACGTCCATTGAGCAGTGTGTCTCGTAGCTGTGAAGTCTGTATTAGATGACTTCATGAACATGATGAATAATGCTATTCGAAAGTAGCAATTAATATGTATGATAATAATGAAAATAAAAATATAAATGTGTACCTTTATGGAATGTGATTAGTAACAATTTAAAGGTGTAACAAGAATTGTTTATATTTTTTACTTTTTTTGACAAGATATTCATAATTTCTGAATTTTTGAGCTTATCCTATCTTACTCTCCATGCTCTAAGCATTCCTCTTTCTTCTTTTGATCCGTTGCGTGGAAATGTCCTTGATCAAAGTTTCCAGCTTCTAAGCTTCCTTTGCCCAGCCACCCATGCATCACCATGACAACCACCCCGGTAGCTAGGTCATGCACTGGGATCTCGTGCAGCACGCTGTCCTCCATCTGGTCCATTGACTGCCTCACCATTCTCTTTCTTTTTCTCGCCTCCCTGTCGAGACAAACTTCTTCTTTTTTTAGAGAGAGAACTTTTAAGCCTTTATTTTTCTCAAAATTAGGGGGCACTAATTGCATATAAATATGTGTAAGACGCAGCCAAACGTCCAGCCTGCATGAAGTGCACCCACATATTTACACCAGTGGATCCTCATATATTATGCTGCGATTGTCGTGGAGTGTCAACCGGGTTTACAGTGTTCGGAATGCTCTCATTTCTAACAAGAGGCATTTACAGACTATCTTAAAAAATGCCAGGAGAGAGGGATATGCCGATCTCAATCCAAGGATACCAAACATGGACACTCTGCGTCCAGGAAACCTAAGCGTGTTGCCAAGACTAGCAGTTATTCAACCGTCAAATCTGTGCTAAAGCAACCACCATCAGCCATGCTTACTTCCCTGTCAGTGGAAGAGATACCGTTTCCGACAGTTTTCTGCATGTAGAAGCTCCCGCTGGTTCTTCACAGCCTAACAGCGATCCACCAACTACAACGAACCCCCAGTCAACAAATACGTCAGACAAACATATGGTGCTTGCTGTAGAATTTGACCAGATTACCGAGATATGTTTATCTTCTTAGACCCGATCTACAGGAAGTCATCGGATCGGATAAGGATCGACTCTCTATGGGTTGATATTCAGATCACCCTCCTCAAGGTCGATCGTCTCAGGAACACACTTCCACATCGAAACAGGGAAATTACTCGGATTCAGAGTGTTCACCTCTCTACAGATCGATTGTATGGACACGAACTGAGGGATTCTCATACTACAGATCAACATTGTCACCTCGACCGATCACGTTCATCGGATTCAGACTCACGGCATTATCCCTAACGCTTTGGTTATGATAGAGATGTGGACTGGGATCGATATCGATCTCCATCTCACTGATACCAACCTATGAGATACTATCCTTATCTGACAAATGATGGATATGGAGATCATCGATATCGGCCCTACCCTAAATATCCTTCGACGCCGGACTATATAGATACACTGCTCTTCCCCATCCACATTGAGATCGAAATCAATATAAGGATCGACAGATGGAACGAGATCGACCCTCCTCACACTCACGTTCTGAATCACCGATAGAGACACACATGGACCAGCGATCTCCAGACAAGTCGCACCCTCCAGTTGTGACATTTCCCTCCTTACCTCCAGTGTCGAACCTGGTTATTAGTACGGCTCCTCCAGTATCCCCTATCAACTTCTTGGGATCAGAGTGATTTAGCTGAACAAATCGGATCTCTTCTTCAATCACTGCAACGGTCTTACAACAATGCACCGAACAGTCAAGGACAGATACAGGACTCGCTACTACAACGACACCAGAAACGGAGACAAGGGATAGAGATAATAATACATCTACTCCGTCGGTTGCTACTTCTGAAAGTCAGAGTTCAGGCAGTTTCGCCCAAGTTGACCCGTCCCTAATCCTCAACTGGATCGCGGACACCCTCAATCCACCTCGTAGTACTTCAGAGGACGACATCAACTCAGGTTTCGTGATGACATCTAACCCAGCTTCTCCTGTTACCATACCACCACCAGCTATCATGTTGGACTTAACTAAGAATTTGAATGAGGCATTCGGGGCCTTGCGCAGACAGAAGGACTAGTTTCCGATGCTGAGATTCAGCATAGCTGATACAGGAACTCATAGAATGATACTGGGGCGGTTGTCATGGTGATGCATGGGTGGTCAGGCAAATGAGGCTTAGAAGCTAGAAACTTTGATCAAGGACGTTTCCACACAAGGGATTGAAAGAAGAAAGAGGAATGCATAGAATGAGACAGGATAAGTATTATAAATATACAATTTATTGTAAAATTTACAATTTTATGTGGATTAACATGTTTGGCTGGAAACAGACAAAGACATGTATATGGTGTAACAATGGTATTCTACTGTAATGGCATCTATGATATGTAGTGTCCTGTGTATTTTCAGGTGCTTCTTGACTGGATAAACGATGAGCTTGCAGATCACCGCATCATTGTAAAGGACATCGAGGAGGACTTGTTTGATGGCCAAATTCTTCAAAAACTCATTGGTAGGCATTTAATTTCATTCGTTAATTTAAGTGAAGTGAAGTGAAATTGGGTTTAACGTCGCGTCCAAGATTATTGCACTTATATAGCGACCGTTAATTTAAGAAAATATAACCTGCTTGGAGAATTAGCTTGTTCAGGTGAATGTAATGTGATAATAAGACATAAGATCTGAAAATGATCATCACATTGAAAATAATAACTGATGCATATTTCTATGATGACAGTATTTAATTAGTGTTTTGGTGCAAATTAGTAGTTTTTATTTAATTTATTTTGTTGTTAATGATGAAGTTGAAATCTTGATATGCAGTGGTGTTGATGGCTCTTTCAGAGAAGTTGTGTTGGATCTGTTGTTGTCCTGGTGTTTCGTACCGGGTGGCATCTTTCAGAGAAGGTGTGTTGGATATGGGGTTGCCATGGTCAGTCATACATGTGGCATGTTTCAGAGACTTTGTGTAGGATCTGAGGTTGTTCTGGTGTATCGTACTGGGTGGCATGTTTCAGAGACTTTGTGTAGGATCTGAGGTTGTTCTGGTTGATCGTACTGGGTGGCATCTGTCAGAGACTTTGTGTAGGACGGGGGTTGCTATGGTCAATCATACAGGTGGCATCTGTCAGAGACTTTGTGTAGGATCTGAGGTTGTTCTGGTGTATCGTACTGGGTGGCATCTTTCAGAGACTTTGTGTAGGACGGGGGTTGCCATGGTCAGTCATACATGTGGCATGTTTCAGAGACTTTGTGTAGGACAAGGGGTTGCCAATATCAATCATACGGGTGGCATCTTTCAGAGAAGCTGTGCAGAATCCGTGTGGAGGCCCCTGAAGTGACGCAGTCAGAGATCGGCCAGAAGCAGAAGCTGAGAGTCGTCCTGGACTACATCACCTCCATCCTGAACCTGCCACAGGGCTGGAACCAGCTGAAGTGGAGCGTGGACAGTAAGTAGACATAGACAGTCTTACATCTGTGGGTGGGTGTGGACAGTAAGTAGACATAGACAGTCTTACATCTGTGTGTGTGTGTGGACAGTAAGTAGACATAGACAGTCTTACATCTGTGGGTGGGTGTGGACAGTAAGTAGACATAGACAGTCTTACATCTGTGGGTGGGTGTGGACAGTAAGCACACATAGACAGTCTTACATCTGTGAGTGGGTGTGGACAGTAAGTAGACATAGACAGTCTTACATCTGTGGGTGGGTGTGGACAGTAAGCACACATAGACAGTCTTACATCTGTGGGTGGGTGTGGACAGTAAGCACACATAGACAGTCTTACATCTGTGAGTGGGTGTGGACAGTAAGTAGACATAGACAGTCTTACATCTGTGGGTGGGTGTGGACAGTAAGTAGACATAGACAGTCTTACATCTGTGGGTGGGTGTGGACAGTAAGTAGACATAGACAGTCTTACATCTGTGAGTGGGTGTGGACAGTAAGTAGACATAGACAGTCTTACATCTGTGGGTGGGTGTGGACAGTAAGCACACATAGACAGTCTTACATCTGTGGGTGGGTGTGGACAGTAAGCACACATAGACAGTCTTACATCTGTGAGTGGGTGTGGACAGTAAGTAGACATAGACAGTCTTACATCTGTGAGTGGGTGTGGACAGTAAGCACACATAGACAGTCTTACATCTGTGGGTGGGTGTGGACAGTAAGTAGACATAGACAGTCTTACATCTTGAAATATGCAGCTACTCTCCAACTCGTCTCACGTGAAAACATGGGGCTTTGACCATCTTGCAGGCAGATGACCACGGAGTACGCTGATCAGTGTTGGAGACTGGTTAATGAGTGATGTCGGTAATTCGTTGCAAATTAGGTGTGTCGGATTAACAGGTCTAAATAGCACTGATTTAATCGGTCCCCATCATTAGTGTCGGATTGTCGGATTAATGAGACTTGACTGTATCTCTATTGTGTATCTCTACAGAACTTCCATGATAGGGTGACTGTACGTATTCATCGGCAATGTGGTGGGGAAGATACATGGTATTGATACGGGTCAATATCTATTGACAGTTATTCAGACAGTGTTGAACAAGACTCTGTCAAGAGACACTCACTCACAGGGAGGAATGAGCCACAAGTGTGGGCGCAGCCTTCAGATGTGTCGGTGCTTAACAGCTGTGTATATTTGTTCAATCATTTATTTAATGGGAGACAACTGCAGCAGCAAAATAGAATTTGTTCACCAATATCATTTATACTCTTTATGGTGGTAACTAGTGTATATTAAAAAGTTCCTAATAAAAAGTAATGATACAGAAGAAATTAAGGACAAATGATACAATGACCTGCCAAAGTACCATTGAGGTGATGACGTATTAAGTGTTTGACTGTTTGATTGTTTGATTGTTCAGGTATCCACTCCAAGAACCTGGTAGCAATCCTGCATCTGCTGGTGGCCCTGGCCAAGCACTTCAAGGCCCCGATCAGGCTGCCTGACAACGTCTCCGTCATACTCGTCATTGTACAGGTCAGTTTCTTGTTAGGGTCAGGTCAAGTTTTTTAAGCAAAATGTGAGACAGCCAACCTGACTGAAAAATAGGATGAGGGGCCTTGTTCTAGCAACAGTCATTTATCATCCAAAACTGGCTCCCACAGGAGATACTGCTAGGGTGAAATCAAGCAATATCTACAATGTAGATATCGCTGCAATGAAATTACATCACAATGCTTTGCAGACCATAGTGACATCATTTGTTACCATGACATCACAATCAAATGACATCACTAATGGCTCTGCTACTGAAGCTGTTAGCAGTACTTTTTACACTTAAGACATTGCTTATCACTTTCTACAAACTAAAAAAGTTGGAAGAATGATGTTCGATGATAAATTAAATCTAACCATCATGTCTTTTGATATCAAATATATCAACACTTGGTAGAGATTTCAATTGGTAGAGATTCCCTATATATGACACTATGCTTAATTAACATACTGTTCTGAGAGATGTTGAACTTACCTCAGTCACTTGCTATAGTCTGCGGGGCGGTCGGGTTGCCTAGTGGTTAAAGCGTTCGCGCGTCACGCCAAAGACCCGGGTTCGATTCCCGACATGGGTACAATGTGTGAAGCCCATTTCTGGTGTCCCCCGCCGTGATATTGCTGGAATATTGCTAAAAGCGGCGTAAAAACCATTCTCACTCACTCACTCATGCTATAGTCTGCATGATGTGTATTACTTGGTTGTCTATTAGGAATTTAGACATTGAGGTGTTGTATAGAGAGTTATCTCCCTTTAACTATCAGCACCTCACCAGACCAATGCAAGATTAAATCAACATTTCAGTTTGTTTTTTGTTTAACACCACACGCAGCAATATTCCAGCTATATAATCGTGGCCTGTACATTATCTTGTCTTGACCTGACAATCCAGTGATTTACACCATGAGCATCAATATGGACTTTTAGGCCAATATGTAAAGATGCAGGAGACTGTTTCAATAGGCCGTGTGGAATGGTAGCAGAGCCTTACTACTGGCAGTAAGAACTTAGGTGATTATTTCCGAAATGCCTAATGATTATATACTATATTTTGTATTTGTAATATCGCCTAAACCGTTTGGAATCAAGATTGAAACAACTAACTAATGTTGAAATAAAGGTAATTTGTTTGATTTTTACCTAGTGGGTTTTTCTTTCTTGTGTTTGATTTGTCAGTGTTTAGATTTTGGCATAAGTTATTTTGTTTATTGTACAACTTTTTATACTTGTTGTTACAGAAAATAGACAACCAGCTGCAGACAAGGAGAGTTTATGAAGAAATCACAGGAGCTAACGAGTAAGTTTTTTGAAGTATTTCAGTCAGTTTAATGCCCTCAGTATAACTAAAAGGTTTATCATAAAGACCAATACATATAAAGGACTAGATTAGCATGTGTAGGACACAAGTAGAAACTGAAAACCTTCCCAGAACCCTGGAAAGTAAAGAAATAAATGTTTTGGTTCTGATTACATGAATACTGAGACCGCCTCCGTGGAGAGCGGAAGGTCGGGGATTCAATCCCCGGCCGTGTCATACCAAACGTTAAAAGATGGTACTTATTATTACCCTGCCTGCCGTTCGGCATTAAGGGGCTAAATCAAGAACTGGTCAGTATACTGTGCCTGAGTGGGGTATTCATGTTAAACTGCGGCATGGTATCTCAGTGGGCTGGTACTATAACAAGCAGCCACACACACACGCGTGACTTTAAACGTCTTTTCACCTCACCTGACCTCACCTGAATACTGTTTTGAGCTCCGACTTATTCGAGGGTTTATCTGAGATTGTTATTTTGGTAGGAAATCTTGGCAGAATGTTTTTGAAGACACACCATCCTGTGAAGAGGTCCCCTTACTGCCAGTGGCGTTATACTCACTCTCACTTTGAACATTTGGAAGTTTAGATGTAAACAGTGGCTGGAGTAGACGGGCAGAGTGAAAGTTTCGGTGAACTGCCGAATACTTGAAACAACTGAAATATTGGAGGAAAACATGATATGCTGTGGCGTGTTTGTGGAAGGTCTACACATACCTGTACATAAAGTGTAATGCCATCTTTTGGTAACACATTGTATATATGGTGTAACAGCTCAAAGTGATGTTAAACCAAAGATCATTAATGTTCAAATGTTTTGTATTTTTCAGTGAAATTGGGGCCAAGTTTGGTAAGTTTCTTTGCTTTTGATGACTTTGTAACTAGACATAAGATGGTGGCATGCAGACAGTAGTTCAGTCTCATTCAAATCAGATCTTAGCTCCCACCACCACTCAACACAAATCTGAGGACATCCCATTATAGGTCATGTCAATATGAACTTTCATCTGACCAATCAGACTGTCACTTACTAGATCGGGGAAGTGACTGTCGGAATGTGTTTTTTCATCATGCAACTTCGAAAAGGTTAACACAGGGTATTCTGAACGACAGTTATAGTCTGAACGACTGATTCCGTCAAAATCATCATCTATCTCTCACTTCAGTGGGATAAATGTTTGAACCAGGAGAGACTTTCCATGACCTGGGTAGAGTACTGCCATACAGTCATCTCAGTCATCTATAAGACAGTCCAGAAGTTTCTTTTGTTCAGTTTAAATATTTTGAATCAAGATAGATCTAAATACTGTTCAGTTTTGTAGTATGAAATGGAAGTCACCAGTTTGAAACTAGTGCTGTAAAGCTCGAGGAAGCTGCTTTCTGATTGGCTAATGTCAACTTCCTGTTAGTAATTTCTTTGGTCAGTCAAAGGTTGTTCTGATGTCCTCGGTAGGGCTAGGACGAGACAAAATTTACTACCCGAGTACCCACCTCCCTATTACCCGACCCTACCCGGGTACATGTACTCCTGTCAAAATAAATTTAGAGACCCGTATAAACCGATCTGGTCATGCATACACTGAAGTTGACTGATGTTTTATTATTATGCAAACATATGAAGTCAGAAGGAATGTGTGCAAAGTCAGAAAGAAATGTGAACATTTATCACTTATAGTGTAACCATAGAGTTTTAGATAATTTTTGCCATTAAACAATATAGTCACGTGACTAACCACGGGTCCGGGTAGTCCTGTGGGTACCCGGGTCCTACTCAGTACCCACCCGACCCGGGTACCAGAGTTAACCGTCCCAGCCCTAGTCCTCGGATCTTTATTTTGTGGTAGCGAGCACTAAGAGCTGGTTTTAATTGGATTGATCATAGTGGAGTCTGAACACAAACATTTTTATGGAGGATCAGTGGATGTTGAGTCTTGCTCATGCTATCAACCACCAGATTGCCATGCCCCGATTTGATTGTTGCAGGCCATAGTGAATTTAGCTGTAACATTGCTGACAGGGCTGTAAAGCAGTTCACACGCCATTAAACAAACATTAAACCTATAAGTTTCATGAGATTGTGTCAAAGTGGATTCAGGATCTAGATAAGAGCATGGCAAAATGAATTTAATGTTATCAAATGAATGTTATGAAATGTTTTCAATTGAATGCTATGAACTGATCAATGCTACTACAAGATATGCTGCAATCATGTGTTTTGTGTTTTGTTTTATCCAAGATGGCGGACGTTTCCGAGCAAAAACGTATATAACGAACATCGTATAAAATGAACTGATTTCTCCGGTCCCTTGTACTTCGTTATATCCAAACTTTGTAATTTCTTCACTGTCTGTTTCACAATTTGATTTTGTTATATCCATGTCTACGGTAATTTCTGTTTCACAACTTGATCTTCAGATGGTCAGGCTCTGTGACTTGGCTGATTGTGTGTCATCGTATCATGACTCAGTAGGATGTTCATATTTTCAATCACTGGTTGGCCTGGCCCAGACTCTGTTGTTTACTCTGTTGAGTCTTTATTTTGTGAGAATATTACTGACTGTGGCTTAGAAAACAAAAACAAAAATCAGACACGAATCTCATTCATGTTTCTGTCTTCCAGAACGGGATGCTTTTGACACACTGTTTGATCATGCTCCTGACAAGCTCAACGTTGTTAAGAAGGTAACATACTTTAACTGTGTTGTTTATTATCAGATTATCAGAGAGTGAGTGAGTTGGGTTTAACGCCGCTTTTAACATTATTCCAGTTATATCACGGCGTGTCAGCTTGATGTGGGAAGAAAGCCCGAAGTGTTGCAGGTCTCAGACGTTTACCACTTCGGTGAAACCCACGAGCATGGGTATGGTGCTGACAAACCTAAAAACATAATCGGGGTGAACCAGGATTCGAACCCACAATCATAGGTTTCTGGCGTGTCCAGGGGACGCAACTCTGCACAGTGAATCGCGGCGCCTTAGACGACTGGGCCACCCGTGCCCCCTCAGATTATCAGAATAGATTAAAGTAATTTGAACTGTTCCATCATGAGAAGTGACATTTACCCTTTTACATTGTTGTTTTACAGACTCTGGTCACATTTGTCAATAAACAGCTGATGAAGGTGAACTTGGAGGTGAATGACCTTGACACACAGGTAGGTTCAAGCATCTCTCTCGTTCCAGACAGCATTTACTTAAGGATTCTTACAAAAGTTCGCACATCCATTTTTTTATTCATACCTCAATGAACCGAAAAAATTCCACATTCAATGCTTATAATTCAATTTGACAAAGAATACATACTGTGGCGTGACATGAACCAGGTGATTGTTTAATTTATGCACATAACTTGATGTGCCCAAAATATCAGTACCCAATCAATGGAGAGTAGGATCAAAAGAAAGGTCATAGGACCTGTCAATCAAGGCAAGAGGCGAGAAGAACTACAACAGTCAGACTAAGGAACCGGAATCTATTTGTCCGAGAGAAGGCGGCTGTTTCAATGACATGGTTGGTTACCACCAGATTCAAACATTAGTTCCTTGGGAACGGGAAGACACAGTTTGAAAAATGTGGGTGAGAAATGAAACCTGAAATTTTTGGAACCCTGGCAAGCAGAAAAAAACAGGCGAGCGAGCCTGCACGTTTGCTTTTTCATTCCTTCTCGGCCTTCGGTCTCAAAGGGTAGCTTGGATAATGAATTTTGCTAAATGTCCTGTGCATGACGATACACGTGAGCAGATAGGGAGTTCCCTCGACTGTAATATTGGGATTCCTCAACATTCCGTAGTATTAAAAGTAGTTCGCTTCGGTGGGCGTGGCTTAATCTTTTACATTCATTGGGAAGTGAATGCAATAACGTGACCAGTTCAGCTAATCAGAATGCAGGAACTGCAGTGAACACAACAAAAATTTAATTATTGCTGATTGAATCAGTTCATAAGTAGACGGTACTCATCCCCTCAGACTACTCTCCACTGTGCCCAATGTCATTATTTGAGGGGCGGTCCGGTAGCCTAGTGGTTAAAGTGTTCGCTTGTCATGCGGACGACATGGGTGAAGCCCATTTCTGGGGTCCCTCGCTGTGATATTGCTGGAATATTGCTAAAAGGGGCGTAAAACCATAACACTCACTCACACTCACTCATTATTAGACCGTTCAGGTAGCAACACAGGGCAGACTAGTTTCCAGTATTCCATGCTTGTGAAAGAGTGGACTGGTGACAGTCGGGTGGTGTCAGTTTGCTTGCTGCATTGTGTGTCATCGCGTCCATGCAGGTGGACCCCTGAGTTTGCTGTTGACCACTGGTTTGCCTGGTCCAGGCAGAAACATTTTCACTCTCTCTTTCCATGGAAAACACCTGGAATGAAATCAGTTCCTTTTTGTGATCATTTGTCCCGTGAAGATTCCGGGTTAGAATTGGTCTTCAGCAACCCATGCTTGCTGTAAGAGGCAGCTAATGGGATCAGGTGGCCAGACCCGCTGTCAACATATCCCAATTGCGTGGATCGATGCTCATGATATCAATCACTGGATTGTCTGGTCCGGATTTGATTATTTGCAGACCACTGTCATATTCCTGGAATATTGCTGAGTGTGGCATAAAAACAACAAACAAAATTTTTAAACTTATTCTTTCTCACACTATGCATTTCCTCTTATTCTTCGATCCTGATGTGGAAACGTCCTAGAACAAACATCTCATACATCACCAAATCACCACTGTGATCATGGGTCATGCACCACTGCCATCCCGTGCGGCACATCTTCAGCAACCCATGCTTGCTGTAAAAGGCGACTATGCTTGTCGTAAAAGGCGACTTACAGGATCAGGTGGTCAGGCTCGCTGACTTGGTTGATACATGTCATCGATCCCAATTGCGTGGATCAATGCTCATGATATCAATCACTGGATTGTCTGGTCCAGACTCCATTATTTACAGACCGCCGTCATATAGCTGGAATATTGCTGAGTGCGGCGTTAAACAACAAACCAACCAACCAACCAGAGATCTGATCACCTGACATATCCAGCACCCTCATTCTCAATTCTATCGCCTGAATGTTAAGAAGTCCCTTGAACAGAGAATATTTGTTGTTTTGGTTGGTTTTTTTTCACAAGTTAAACTAATAAACGATATGAAGTCATCACTACCCCTCTGCTCCGACTGCCATAGTCTGTTTTCCCCTCTCAATCCCCACCTCAGTTGTTGTGATTGTCGTGGGGTATGTGAGATTGCAACACGATGTACACAGTGTGCAAACTTATCAGAATCGGATTTCAAAACTTACCTACACAAGTGCTCCAAACGATCGGCCGATCGTAGGTCAAAAGCATATAAGGATTCGGAGCACGGCCCTTCATCCGTGAAGAAACCGAAGTGACAAGTAATATCTCGTGGGAATGTGCCTTCATCGTCTTGCAAGAAAGGGAATAAATCTACTACATCGGCAGCAGTTACTTCGCTTTCCGTGGAGGAAGATTTGCTATCCAATTCGTTTTTGAATGCTGACCTTCCCTCTTGTAAACGGACCACGCCCCCTGCACGTGACGGCTCAGGGTCTCCTTCAATCGTCCCGCCATTAACTGACCACCGGAATGTACTGTCGTCTGAGCCTTCCCCCCTTATTTCGAAGATGGGAGTCTCCCTTGACCAAACGTTGGGAAAGTCTAATCAACCAGCAGAGGGGTGCCCTTCCCCCCAACCCGAGCGGGATTCGTCTCTTCGTCGCTCCATGCGCGCTCAGGATACAGTTACAGCTCTCCCGACTTCCGGTGGCAATAGGTCATGTGAACGAGAACCGGACGATCGTCATCGTAGCAGAGAAAGTGCTCTCCGTCAGACGACAGAGCTTCCAATACAATATTGTCATCCTTCGTTGGATTGCGAGCGATCAAGGGATCGACAGGTCGACGGATGGATGGAACGATGACTCGCCAGATCGCCGTGCTTCACCTTTATCGACAAGTTGCCGTTCCTCGTAGGATTATCTTGTCGACATTTCATTAGGTCTTACCTCAGTTGATCGGCAGCTCGCTTCCTCTACAGATCGAAACCTGAGGTATCAACACTCTTCTGCTCATCAACGTATCGACACCTCAACAGATCAACACATCGATACATCGATACACATCGACACTTCGTCCGAGTGTGAAATCGATCGGGAAATCAACCGTTTTTACGACTTCGCCTACCCGACTGTCATCATTCACAAGATTGTCATTCTTCCATGGAACAACATTTTTTCCGGGATAAACAGGTCTCTCATCGGGAAACGTCGTAGGGATGCCAGTCATCGTAGGTCACGGACTCATCCACGTTCTACTCCTTCAACTTATCAGGATTATCAGGACTATAATGCAGGAAACAGTTATATCACATCTGATCGTTATGATTTCTCTGGTTCATCCTCGGTCTCCAAGGGATCGACGTCGCCAGGGATCTAGATCCCGTTCTCCTTCACCTCTACGACCTCAACGCTCCCATACTATGAATCGCATGGCTCCGCAGGATCGTCAATTTCTCCCTACGTCGTGGGATCATCGCACGGAGTCTTCCTCGTTCCCCACCTCGAACTTTCAGACTCTGGTACACGCGGTGTCTAAGGTGCTAGATCATCGTAGCTTCCCGTCAGCCGAGACTCCTACCTTACTTACTGCATACGATGATCCACATTCGTCAGCCTCCTCTCAAGGTGATTATGATATAGTGGATCAGACGGACATGCTATTTTGGATTGCTGATAAACTGGGACTTCCCAGCAGTACTGCTAAGGAGGATCGACCCACTGGCTTTGTGATCACCAGTCCCACATCGAACACTCTTACCTTACCACCTAAACAAGTTTTCACAGTTATGAGCAAGAATTTGGATTTGTCCTTTGCTACTTTTCGCTGCCATAGGGACAAGTTACTGACTCCTCACTTTAACTACACAGACACTGGAACTCATGGTATGTCTTCCATCTCTACGACCCCAGAAGTAGATGGCGACATCCATAATATCACTCCCAAGCGTTCTACATTTCCTTTTATTGTGGAGGATAAAGAATTGGCTCATATTGACCAGACTATACGCTTCCTATCAGCCTTACTCTCCATACAGAGAAGTATATATACTTCATAGCTAAGAATCAACTCCCAGGACAACCAGATCGTCTATTTACCCTTCAACCCCTCTCATCGATATTGGGACCTGAAGACGTGGAAGACCTCTCACTTTGCCCAGTCCGAGCCTTAAAGATCTACTTGAAGGCATCCCAGACCTCCCGTCGCTCTCGCAAGCGTCTTTTCATCCCGCTATCATGGGCTGCAACTTCAGAGGTATCACGAACCACCATCTTCTTTTGGCTGCGTTCTATCATCCTCAGGGCCTACACCTTTGTGGGACTACTACCTGCGGTCGCCTCCAATCCTCATGAGACAAGGGCAGTGGCCTCCACCTTGGCGTTGCACCGTAATTGCTCACTCTCGGCCATCATGGAGGGATGTTTCTGGCGTTCTGATACGATCTTTGCCTCCCACTACCTTCGGGATGTCTCGGTCGCCGATGTCCAAGGTCTTCATCACTTTGGCCCTCTTGTGTTGGCACAACAGCTTACAGCAGCCTCACAGTGCCTCTGTCCTTGCCCATGTGATGTCTCAGTAGTTGATTGAAGACCTGTGTGATAAGCGGGTATCGTCATCGTTCCTATTCTCGTTCTTACCATATTCAATCTCTACGTGAGTTTGATAGGTTGACGAAGCGAAAAAAAAGATGCCAAGCTGGTCCGCCTTACGTCCTTGGGAGCGTATGTGTGAGGTCTGTCTTGTAGAACCTCCTCCTATCGGGGTGAGGTTAAGTCGTGACCGAGTAGGTGTCGCCTGGCTCATGGTTACACGGTTGTTCTTGGAAAGGCGTCCTGTGTGAAACCATGGAACACATGATTCCCCGATGTCATGATCTATATCTCTTGTTAGCACAAAGAGGGTTTTTTGAGGCAAACCTTACACGAGTTTATCACTAATCCTTGTTAAATCCTTGAATTTTTCTGATTAGATCCAGCTTCCTCGTGTACGTCTCACGGTTGAGGTCCTTTCAGGCTAGGGTATCTGCGCCCCACCATCCAACCGTGGGATAAATGCATAGTGTGAGATAGGATAAGTTTAAAAAT